AAACCCCCGGGGGGCACGGGCCGAGAGCGGGATATCGGAAAACCCCCTTTTGGGATTTCTTCAAATTTAGCCCCGGGAATTGGGGGGGCAAAAATTGAAACCCGGAAGCGTAAACGTTAGCCAGATTTGGGACCCTCTTGGATTAGCCCCGGGGGCCAAAGGCCGGGGAGCCCAAACCCGGGGGGGGGGGACGTTAGCTGGGTTGAAATCCCCCCGCTAACCCCGGGGACTTAGATTGAAATCTCAGTGGCGGGCCCCTTAACTTCGCCGTGTGACTCCCGGAAGCCCCCCCGTGCAGAGAGAAACACGGGGGGCGAATAGATTGGGAACGGGGCTGGCGCGAAGCCGTGGTTCAGACGCGAAAGGGTTAAGTGCGAGACCCCGGAGTGGTCGCCCAAAGCGGGCTGAAGCCGCTCAGCCGGAAAGCCGCGGAGAAATAACCTTGGGGCGGAGCCTGCCGGCAGGGCGAGGCGCCGGGAAGCTGCAGGGATAAGAGAAACAGAAGTTTAGAAGTAAAGTGAGAGAAATAGGAATGCTGGAAGATAGAAGTAAAATGGGAGAAATAGGAATGCCCGGAGATAGAGAAATAGAGAAATAGAAAGGCCTCCCTACAACACTGCACTGTGAGAGCTTGGATTCGGTCTGCCTGATTAAGTGAGGCGATGAGCACGATGAGCACCTGTGGCGGCTAGCAGCTTATGCGCCGCAGCTCACCGAAGACAGGCACGAATTAACATCAGTAAGGCTTCCCCACAATACAACAATTAGGAGGCTTGGATTCGGTCTGCCCGATTAGTGAGGCGATGAGCACCTGGGCGGCTAGCAGCTTATGCGCCGCAGGTCACCGAAGACAGGCACGAATTAACATCAGTAAGGCCTCCCCACAAAAAGGCAATGAGAAGGCTTGGATTCGGTTTGCCTGATAGGGCTTGTAAGCCCCTGCAGGCTCGACCAGAGCATGCGCTGCAGGGCACCGAACACAGGCACGCATCAGCGCCTAAAAACCTCCTCACAATATGGCGAAGAGAGGACCCGGATTCGGTTTGCCTGATTTGATAGGACTTGTAAGAACCTGTGGCAACTCTAGCAAGCAGAGCAGAGTGTGTGCCGCGGGGCACCGAAGACAGGCGCGTATCAACGCCAAAAAATAAAAAGAAAGGGGGATCTGTGGGGAGCAAACTGGACTAGACTGAGTTACTGGAATTAAGACTTATTCTATGCATCTGCTCTCCCACAATATGGCGATGGGAGAGAAGTAAACAGCTTCCGCACAGCTGCCTCCAGTTCAACCAATAAACTGTAGGACTTGCTCCTGATTGGAGAGCAGCGTACTCGGCGTGTGGGCAGCCGAGTTGGGATTGGCGGAGGAGGACTATAAAGGAGGAGAGAGACGGCATGTACCAGGAACATCTATGGGGAACATCTAGCTGAAGGAACACCTGTGCAGCCCCCGAGAAAGCCGGCCGGCGGTGTGCCGCTCCCCTGCGGAAGTGGGGAATGTGGCCAGGGGGAACTGCCCTTCCACGGAGGTGGAAGGGATAGTAGCCAACCCGGGAAGAACCAGCAGCAAACCCGGGGAGGGCCGAGCAGACGAAAGAACAGCGCAGGGTCCTGTGTCGTTCCTCCACGAAGACGGGGAGCGACACTGGGCGTTCTTGTCGAAGCAGGGAGCGCTACGTTTGAGTCGTAGGGTGTCAGGAAAGGTGTATTTTCTATTAATACTTTTCAAGTGAAGTAATTAATATGCGCAAGCACGGTTGTGTTATTTTGAGTGATTTCATTCTTGTTACTGTTACAACTTAGCATTTATAATGCCTTTTTACTCTGCTTCCAGAAATGAGAGTCTAGTAAAATAGTCTCAAGACGTCCCCTGTAGTCTACATGTAAGGATTATTTCTCATCCTGTAAATGTCCTGTAGCTGTGGCCTTTATTGTTGAAAATAGATTCAGTAGGCCGGTGCTGCGGCTCACTTGGCTAATCTTCCGCCTGCGGCGCCAGCACCCCGGGTTCTAGTCCCGGTTGGGGCACCAGATTCTGTCCCGGTTGCTCCTCTTCCAGTCCAGCTCTCTGCTGTGGCCCGGGAGTGCAGTGGAGGATGGCCCAAGTGATTGGGTCCTGCACCCGCATGGGAGACCAGGAGAAGCACCTGGCTCCTGGCTTCAGATCGGCGCAGCGGCCAGCCGTAGCAGCCATTTGGGAGGTGAACCAATGGAAGGAAGACCTTTCTCTCTGTCTCTCTCTCTCTCACTGTCTAGCTCTGCCTGTCAAAAAAAAAAAATCGATTCAATAAAAATTGTGTTTTTTACAGGAAAGATAGTAAGTGCTTTTAAAATATACTGAAGTTTTATGATTTATTTTTTTCTTCCTTCTCAGATGGGGAGCTCATATTCTTCATTATGTGTTTCCAGGTTAGCATGGCCTTGTTAAAAGAACTAGACCAGAGACTCTTTGAAAATTACATTGAGCTGAAAGCGGACCCCATCGTGGGCTCCTTGGAGCCTGGCATCTACGCAGGCTACTTTGACTGGAAGGACTGCCTGCCTCCCACCGGTGAGTGCCGCCGCCCCGCTCTGCACACGTGCCTCGACCTGCGAATGTTCATTTACAGCGCTTTCTTTTGATGGACGTGTTTCTCGTAAGTTGGAGAAAGGTGGGAGATTAGGTTGACTTTAACTTTTTATTAGCTTATATCCATTTTTTGATAGTTTGGAATTTAGTACACCTCATTATCAATACTGAATGGTTTAAAGTTCAAAAGAATCACCCTTCTGCCTCGCAGTAGTTGGTCATTTCAGTCCCGCGTCAGTCCTGTGGAACTCCTTGTGTGCGTAGGTAGAGCAGAATGACGATGTGTGGACGTCACCAACGTGGTCTAAGGAGTCTGGTCTCTGGCGTGTGGGCCCTGCTGTGGCTGCTGAAGCGGTGCAGGATGGAAGGACAGTGTGCAGGAGTGAGGTGGCCAAGAGCGTCCCAGGCCGTTTCACACGCGGATTTTTAAGTAACTGTGGCCTTCTGAACCAATTAAACTGTTTGTTTCTGGTATGGATGTTACAGAGAGAAAACCGAGCTTCCTGGCAACGCTGTTTATGGAAATGGCCTTAGCAGCAGTGTGCACACTCATGTGAGGTGTGGAGCCTTAGCAGCAGTGTGCACACTCATGTGAGGTGTGGAGCCTTAGCAGCAGTGTGCACGCTCATGTGAGGTGTGGAGCCTTAGCAGCAGTGTGCACACTCATGTGAGGTGTGGAGCCTTAGCAGCAGTGTGCACACTCATGTGAGGTGTGGAGCCTTAGCAGCAGTGTGCACACTCATGTGAGGTGTGGAGTCTTTCTGGATGCATGCGTGTAGAGGCAGCAGTGAACTGTTAGCACACTTGCTTAATCTCCACTCTCAGCTAATCATGTGAAATCACTTTTCACTTTCATTGTGTAGTCCTGTTTGTAGATGCTGTTAAATGGCTTTTGTTTTTATTGTGTAGTGTTTGCACTTAGGGGAGCCAAAACCAGACCATTAAATTCATAATGATTTGTGTGCCCAGAGCTTGTTAATTCTCTGAAATCACAGTGGTTGTAGTCACCTGAGACCCCGCTCCTCCAGCTGGCCATGACTGACCTTTCTCCCGTAAACTCTGATACTCTTCTATGTGCGCGCCTCGCCCAGCCTGGGTTGCGTTTCATTTTCCAAGTGTACCTTTCGAAGTATAAACCGGATCCTTTCAGCATCTTGCTTAAAATTCTTGGACCCACGGCGCGGTGTGGGCCTCTGCCCTGACCCCTGGCACCCCACCCTCTGCCTCTCCCCAGCTGGCCTCCACCTCTGCTGTTTGGAAAAGCTCGGACTTCTAAAATATAAACTGGACCCTATCAACCCCCCGGCGTCTGGCTCTGCGCGATGATCCTGGCTCCCTCCACAAAGGGCTTGCTTAGGTGGTGCTCAGGCTGTGTTTACATGGTTTACCTCCTTCCAGGCAGCAGGTGGCAATACCAGTCCCTGCTCACCCTCGCTCACCCTCACTTCCCTCCGTCACTCTGCCTCCTCTGGGAAGCCCTCCCTGACCACTGCCTGTGCCCCAGGTCAGGTTGGCATACTCCACCCTGTGGTTCTGGAACATTGCTCTGTGCATGGAGGCAATACCCTGATCTGTTTCCTTGCTGGACAACCTAGGGGCAGGGACTGGCACTGTCACGCCTTTCCTGGCCCACAGAAGATGTCCCGTGCGTGTTGGTGCAGCTGGTGTGCAGTGATGTGCAGTTTGTGAAGGTGCGGGCTGCTCCTTAGTTGGTCTTCCACGTGTTTGCTCTGTGGTTTGGCAGTGACTTTTCTCAAAGATCGTGCAGTGTTCTGTTGTCATTCACTTTAGAATAAGTAGTAGACAATGCACGTGTACATTCAGATTTGTTGAATTAACTGAATTGAGAGAAGTGTTTTAGCACTCACTTCCTTCTGTAGGAGCTGAGTGCTCTCCTTCAATTCAGAGCTGTTGCATTGCAAGTAAAAGGCAGCAGTCAAGTGTATCTAACACACCAGCAGTTCTGTGTGGTATCTCCATGCGCAAAGTAATACTTTGCTCAGTGACAGTTTAATTAGTTGAGCATGATGAAATTCATATTTTCCTCAGTGATGAGCAGGTTTTGCACATTAGCTGTCAGCACTCACAAGTTTTTCTTGTGTTATTGGGCAGATATGCTAAGTTATTAAAATATTTGTGGTGTCTCTGTGAGAATAAGAAGCCTCACGCCACCACGGCTCCCATCCCTGTAACAGATTGGAATTGGCCACTGAGCTTCGGTCTCCACCCACGGTGGCTCACCTCTGTGTTCCTGAACGCTCTCGTACCGAGACAGGATCTGCTTGCCACTGGCGCAGGGGGCGGCTTTGTCTGCTCTGCCAGCCTCGCAGACGTGCCGTTCCTGCTGCCGCGCCACAGCAGGGCTTGCTCAGCGCGCTCTGGGCAGCAGGGCTGGCACGCAGGCCTTCCCTCTCATCAGCTTGCCTCTTGAAGGAGACGTCCATGATGCCTGCACTCCAGGAAGGGCATGGTTAGGTCACAGTGACGTGGCCGCTATTAAGTGGCTGTGGACCCTGTGACAGGGCTGCAATAGGAATTAGCAGGAGGGAACACGGCAGTGCTAGGCTGATGCTGGGGGGTCCTGGTTTCCATTGCATTCAGTTAAATTAAAAATTTAGAATTTCCCGAGTCTCCATTGTAATATATTTATTTAAGTCATTCGATATCTTTTCTCTGTTATCTTCGTGTGTTTTCAGATGTGACGTTAAGCCATTAAAAGCCACCGTTGTGAATTAGGATTAGAGGGCTAAAAATGATCACAGCATAGACCTTAACAGCAGTTTGTAGCCTCCTGTAATTATTTTATACAAAATCAAAATCCTGCCGACTGGATGACGGTGGGTGGTCTAGCCTTTTTAAATTCAGCTCAGATTTTCTTTTTAAGGTAAATTTCCTGTCATAAGCAGTAGCTTATGGCACTGTGATACCAGCAATTTATTTACGCTTTCTTAGATTCTAAAACGCTTTAGAGTTTTTAGTGTTTCTTTCACTTTTGTTAACTGTATTTAGTTCTGTTCTTGGTGTAGTTTTTGCTTCATGATTACTAACCAAACCTCAGCCTTGTGTAGTCATATAGGGATTTTTAGTTTGTCCAAAGTTGACTTAAATTGAGACCTCACATAAAGTGAACAACCAAAATACTTTGAGTATTAATCTTCCAAAATAATTTCAATTAACGTCTGTAGTATTATCTTTAGAATTTTCATCTCCCTAAGCTGAGTTTTGCAAATCATATAGGTGACTGATTACTTATTGCTATAGTGAACAATAAATTTAGTTTCCGATTCTGTATGTAGTGATTAAAAAAAAATCCAGTTGATTAATTTCATGATTCAAAACAGATATCCGTTAAAGCCGTAGCTGTGTTTTTTTAACCCAACAGTTGGATATTTAAATTGTTGTCACCTCTTTATTTGTGTATATGTCAGTAAAGATTATTCTGGTTAGTTCTGAGTCACATAACGGACTGTTCTTAAGATTTTTTTTTAAATAAACTTTTTATTTCAGAATAGTTTGAAATTTAGAAAACAAAAACTGTGAAATTATACAAAGAGTTTCCATGTACTCCACACCCAGTTCCCTCTAATGTTAACATCTCATATTAATGTTTGTCCCAGCTAATGACCCACACAGAGTTTCCCTGATTTTTTTAAATTCAAATTCCCTCAACCCCCCGCAGCTCTCCCAGCCGCAAGGAATTGACATTCCATGTTCAGATTGAGGTTTTCCTTTGAACTCCCATGTATGAAGGAAAACATGCAGTGTTTTTCCTTTTGTGTCTGGCTCATTTCACATAACATCATGTCTTCCAGTTCCATGCAGTTTGCTGCAAGTGACAGGACTCCATTCTTTTCTGTGGCTGAGTAGTATTCCAGTGTGTGTGTGTCTGAATCGCGTTTTCTTTACCCATCCCTCTAGTGATGGACAGCTTGGTTGGTTCCCATCTTGGCTGTTGTGAACAATGCTGCAGTGAACATGGTGGTATAGGTGTCTCTTTAAGACGATGTGTTTTTGTCTTTTAGGCATATACCCAGTAGTGGAATTGTCCGATCATATGGCAGTCTAGTTCTTGAGAAATCTCTGTACTGTGCTCCATAGTGGCTGCACTAATTTACAATCCCGTCAGTAGAACACAAGAGCTCCCCTCACCCCACTTCTGCCCACATTCCATGCTGTCTTTTGGATGATAGCCATCCTGGCAGAGTATGGTGATAGCTCATTGTAGTTTTGACTTGCATTTCCCCAATGGCTAGTGATATTGAGATTTCTTTTTTCATCCATCTGTTGGCCATTCTTATTTCTTCTTTGGAGAACTGTTCAGGTCCTCTGCCCATGTATTAACTGAAAGGGTTGCTTTTTGTTATTTTTTGAGTTTTTGAGTTCTAAAATATTCTGGATATTAGTCCACTGGCATATATTTTCTCCCGTTCTGTAGCTGTCTCTTTACTTTCTTGAGTATTTTCTTTGCTGTACAGAAGCTTCTGAGTTCAGTATAGCCCCGTTGCTTTTGTGTTGTCTGTGCTTTTGGGGTTCTGTCCAAGGAATCATTGCCTACACCAGTGTCTGGAATGCCTCTCCTGTTTTCTTCCAGCAATTTCATAGTCTCGGGTCTTACACGGAGGTCTTTGATCCATCTGGAGTTGACTTTTATATGTGATGTGAGGTAGGGATCTGGTTTCCTTCTGCTACATGTACACATCAGGATTCCCCAGTAGCATTTATGGAGAAGGCTGCCCTTGCTCCAAATGGATGTTCCTAGCACCTTGGTCAAAAGTCAGTTGGCTGTAGGCATGTGAATTAATGTCTGTACCCTTCTGTACTGTTGGTCTTTGTGTTGGTTTTTATGCCAGTACCAAGATGTTCCAATGACTACAGCTATGTAATGTGCTTTGGAATCAGACATTGTAATGCCCCCAGCTTGGTTTTTATTTTGGGGGAAGGGGAGCTCAGGTTTGTGTTGGTTATTCTGGGTCTTTTGTGGTTGTATGTGAATTTTAGGATTTTGTTTTGTAATTATGTAAGTAATGTTGGTACTTTGTTAGGGTTTACATTTCCTTTGTAGATTAATTTTAACTATATTTATTCTCCCTGTCCATGAATAGGGAATATCTTTTCCAATTTTGTATGTCTCCTTGAAATTAGAGAAGGAAAAAAATGAAGGGCTTCAAAACTTGAAAGGAGGAAATCAAAACATCTATGTTTTCAGATAACCTGATTGTGTTCATGGGAAAACCTGCACACTGCACCAGGCTGTTAGAACTTGAAAACCAGTTCAGTAAAGTCACAGGATACAAAGTCAATATAGCAAAAACAGTAGCATTTTTATGCATCAACAGTGATCTTGCTGAAAGAGAAATCAAGAAAGAAATCCCATTCACAATAGTTAAAAAAATTTAAATATTTAGGAATAAATTTAACTAAGGACATAAAAGATCTTTGTTTTGAAAATCATAAAACATTGATGAAAAAGTTATCAAGGACATAATCAAAATGGTCTTCGGGTTCTAGTTACTCTATTATCCATGGTTATCAAGAGCTCTATTTGTACCTTATAAATTTTAACTGAGTTAATAATATTGTTGATCTTATTTGCAAATGCAACATAAAAGTTCACACCTTTAAAACATGCTAACTTTGAAAAATATCCTTCTTTAAGTTTTCTCCTAAATCTTGGTTTTAACTATTTTTCTTTTCTTACCCAAAAGCCAATTAAGTTTAATCTGTACACATTCCTTAAAGGTATTTAGAAATGAATTTCAAGTTGACAGTTTTTATAAAATACAGCTTTTGGTATTTAATTCAAATGTTTACACATTATTGTAGCAATTGGAATTATAACAGGAAGGAGGAAGACAGCTGTGTAATTCTCAGCTGAAACGTGTAGTACCTTCCTGGGAATAGCTCCACAGTTGCTTCTTATGGCCCGTCAGGGGTGTCAGCCCGCAGGCAGCGCCGCCCAGTGTGATGAGTGAGTAGAGCTGTCAGCTGTCCAGCGTGCAGGCAGCGCGCTGGGCAGCCCAGTCAACCCAGTTGAAGAGAAGAAAATGCATGCCTGATGCTGGAGGCACAGGCACACGCAAGCTCTTCCTAAACCTGTGTTTGTTTTATGTAAGAGAACTTTAGTTTTCAGGTCTCTCTCTGCCTTTCAGAATCTGTCTTGCAGATATGTTTGCTATATTCGGTAAGAAATATTGCAGAGTTAGGTTATCTCCTGTTTCTTATAACTCAGATAATTAAAAGTTCAGGCCCAGTTTAGAAGTTCTAGAGAATAAGAAAGGTCCTAGAAGAATAAAGATAAAGGAAAAAGTTGTATTTTAATTTGATTTTTCAAAAATTGAAAAACAGAGAAGTTTGATGTTGCACTCTGAGAAAATGGATCATTAAGATATTTGTGGGCCTTTGTAAAATAGTTAGCTATACATTATATGTAGGCATGCATAATGTCATGCTATATATATATTAATACATAGCATGCTAATATAAACATTAGATGTATACATGAATTTATATATGTATGTATATATTATATACATTATATGCAGGCATGCATATATATTGTGTTCTATATATATTAGTATGTAACATGCTAATATAAACAGTAGCTGCATGTATGAGTTTATATGCACATGTATTATATACATTATATGCAGGCATGCACATATATTGTGTTATATATATATTAGTATGTAACATGCCAATATGAACAGTAGGTGCATGTATGAGTTTATATGCACATGTATTATTATATACATTATATGCAGGCATGCACATATATTGTGTTCTATATATATTAGTATGTAACATGCCAATATAAGCAGTAGCTGTATGCATGAGTCTATATGCACATGTATTATTATATACATTATATGCAGGCACACACATATATTGTGTTACATACATATTAGTATGTAACATGCCAATATAAACAGTAGCTGCATGTATGAGTCTATATGCACATGTATTATTATATACATTATATGCAGACATGCACATATATTGTGTTACATACATATTAGTATATAACATGCCAATATAAACAGTAGATGTGCATGAGTCTATATTTGCATGTATGTATTATTATATAAACACTTTACGAATCTGTTACTGTATATGCATAGTAATGTCATTAGCATTTATTGCCTGTATATCATCTGCTGGGAAGAGGGCTTTACCTTTGATTGCCTGACTTAACCTTCAGAACAGCACCTGGAGAAGTAATATCATTATCTGACTTTATGGAGGAAGCATGAAGAGGGTTAGTGATTTGCCCAAGATCATCTAGCTAGGACATAGTGGAGCTGGGGTTCAGGATTCAAGTCCAGGCAGCCCTACTCTAGGCACTTGTTGTAATGCTAGACAAAGAGCTAGTACCCTCTATTAAGCATCTATTAAGGAAAAAGGCAGATACTCTGATAGAAAAATAGGCAAAAGTCATGAAATTCACAGAAGAATTAAAAAGTCAGTGAACATGAAAAAGATACTAAAGTTCATGATTTCTCAATGCGAAGTAAAGTGGCATTCAGATACCATTTTATAAAATACTCTCCAGGTTCACAAATACTGAACACCTGCTTTCTTGAAAAGGTACAGAGAAGCCAACTGTCCCCACATCTTCCTAGAAATGTAAACTGGCCCATCTGTATGACACACATAGATATGTTTGCATGTAAATGCATGCATATTCAAAATTTCTTGCATATATAAAAATTTCATGGAAAATGGAATTAAAAGATAAATTGCTTTTGGTGCAAACATTTTTGAAACCATGCATGCCTCTTATGTATTAGGTGCTTCAAGAAGGTCGTGGGAAAACGGAATTCAAAGGCAGTGTGCATTTTCCACAAACTTTTTGAAGCACCCTCGTATATGTGTGTCGTTTACTTAGAAATTCTAACAGTTTATCTTAAGGAAAGTATCAGACAAATAAGTAAAGAAATCAAAGCCATATTTGTGCAATGGAGTACTACTGCATTAAGACCAAGTAGGGCTTATTTTAGGCAAGCCTGTTCAGTGCAACATTTGAAAATTAATCAATAATTCAGTAGCCTGAGCAAAGACATGTCATCATCTCGGGAGATGTAAAGAACACTTAACAAAATGCAACAACATTCATGATTTAAAAAAAGCCTTCAGCCTATTGGAAATAGAAGAATACTCCAGAGTCTGAAAAGGTTCTACAAAGATTCTGTAGCTTGTAGCAGACTCTGCTGAAGTCTGGAAGGTTCTCCTGCAGGATCAGAAAAGCAGCAGGGATGCCTTTGCCACCGCTGCCACTCAGTGTTGTACTCGGATCCCACTCTTGTCACACCGCAAGAAAAGGAAGGAAGACTGGGACAAACAAAAGAAAGTGTTTGTTGTAAGAAATGAAATAACATTGTAAGGAATCTACAAAAATTATCGTAAGTGGATTGAAGATCCTAGGTTACAGAATCAAGATACGTAGCAGGGGCTGGTGCAGTGAGTCCAGCTGCTCTTGCGATGCCAGCAAACCATCCGGGACGACCAGCTGGAGCCCTGGCTGCTCCCTGCTGATGCACCCAGGAAGGCAGTGGAGGATGGGGGAAGGCCTTGAGGCCTTGCCGTTACATGGGAGACTAGGATGGAGTTGCTGGCTCCTGACATCAGCCTGGCCAGCCCCGGCTGTTGCAGTCATTTGTGGGGGTGAACCAGCAAATGGAAGTTCTCTCTGCCTTTCAAATAAGTAAATAAACCTTAAAACTTTTTATAGCAAAAAAATGGAAAATTAATAAATTTCATTTTAAATAGCATCAAAATATAAAAAACATTAAAGTAAGCAAACAAAGAAAACACATGTGAAGACCTCTTCCAAAAGCTGGAAATCACTGCTGACTCAGTGCCTCGGCAGCCAGGTTTCCAGCAGGCGTTTTTGGGGTTTTTTTGGGGGGTGGAAACTACAGGACTATTCTAAAGTTTATTTGGGAAAGTGAAGGACCTTGAATACCGGCAACCAATCTTGAAGAAGAACTGCAAAGCTGGCCTACTCACATGTCTTGATTCAAAGACTTCTCAAGCCACCGTACTAAAGATAGCGTAGTATTAGTGCAAGGACAGATAAAGACATCAGTGAAACAGAATGGACCCGTTCCTGTGGAGAGTTAATTTTTGACAAAAGCAGCAAGACGTGCATGGTGAGAGGGAGTCTCCTCAACAGGTGGTAGCGACAAGAGGGTGCCTGTGAGCCAGCCTCCCACAGACAGCACCCCGTAGCAGCCGCAAGGAAAGGCCTGCAAGATCTGCGGCATCCTTCGTCCCTGGAGAGGAGCGGGTGAACCTCAGCCAGACGCTCCTCGGTCCCACTGGAGTCGCTGCGTCTGAAGAGTCCGTGGACGCTACGCGCTGGCAAAGGTGGTGGAGCAGTGGGGACGCCCACATGGTGCAGGTGAGCCTGTGGAGTGGCACAGCCGCCTGGGGAGCAGTCCCTGACCGAGTGAGACGTACCTCTCCCGGGTGACCCATCGCGCCTAGGCATTCTCCGCTCCACCAAAAACAGAAGTGCACAGTGTGGCCCTCATAGCTTTATTGCTAACAGCCAAAAACTGGAAATAGCTGAAACACCCATCAGGAAGAGGATGTATCCAACTATGTGTTCAAACAGTATCCGTAGGGGGTACTTCAGAAAGTTCATGCGAGTGCAGTTAAAAGATACGTTTATTCTGGTACAAGATATTCTGAGGGGCGAGTGTTCAGCACAGTGGTCAAGCTCCCACTTGGGACAGCTGCATCCCATGTTCAAGTCTCGGCTGCTCCGCTCCTGATCCAGCTTTCTGCTAATGTGCACCCTGGGAGGCAGCAGGTAAAGGCTGCTTGGGTCTCTGTCGTCTACATGGGAGACCCAGATTGAGTTCTGAGCTCCTGGCTTCAACTCGGCTCATCCCTGGTAGTTGTGGACATTTGGGGAGTGAGCCAGCAAATGGAAGCTGTCTCTCTGCCTTCAATACACATAGACACACACATAAATAAAGTTTGAAATACATGTGTGGTTTTTAATTTTTTTCTATTTTAAATTTAAACTTTTTTTAAGATTTTTTATTTATGTATTTGACAGGTAGAGTCACAGACAGTGAGAGAGAGAGAGAGAGAAAGAGAGAGAGAAAGGTCCTCCATCTGATGGTTCACCCCCCAAAATGGCCGCAACTGCCGGAACTATGCTGATCCAAAGCCAGGAGCCAGGTACCTCCTCCCAGCCTCCCACACAGGTGCAGGGGACAAACACTTGGGCCATCCTCCACTGCCTTCCCAGGCCACAGTAGAGAGCTGGACCGGAAGAGGAGCAACCAGGACTAGAACCCAGTGCCCATATGGGATGCCGGCGCCACAGGCAGAGGATTAGCCTAGTGCGCCATGGCGCTGGCCCCTTAAATTTAAACTTTTATGTGAGGGGCCCAGCTCTATGGTGTAGTGGGTAGAGCCACTGCCTGCAGCCCTGGCATTCCATATGGGCTCTGGTTCAAGTCCCAGCCGTTCCACTTCTGATCCACCTCCCTGCTAATGCACCTGAAAAAGCAGCAGAACATGACCCAAGTCCCTGGACCCCTGTGCCCACGTGGGAACCTGAACGGAGTCAGATATCTGACTCCTAGCTTCACCCTGGCCCAGCCCCAGCCATTGCGGCCTTGGGGAGTGAACAAGTGAGTGGAGGACCTCTCTCTCTCTCTCTCTCTCTCTCTCTGCCTCTGCCTCTGCCTCTGCCTCTCCTTCTCTGTAACTCTGCCTTTCAAATAAAAATAAGTCATTTAAAAATTTTTTTTTGAGAAACAGAGACCTTCCATCTGCTGGCTCACTCCCCCACATGCCCACAACTGCCAAGACTGAGCCAAGCTGACGCCAGGAGCTCGGAACCCAATCCAGGTCTCCTGCGTGAGTGGCAAGAACCCAGCTCCTCAGTCAGCATCTGCTGCCTTCAGGTGTGCATTGGCAGGAGGCTGGATGGGACCCGGAGCAGGTACTCGATGTGGGATGCTGGTGTCCCGGGCAGCAGCCAAGAACAGTGCCAAGTGCCTGCCCATATCTTTTTAATAATATGTATTTTCAGCCAGCGCTGCGGCTCACTAGGCTAATCCTCCACCTGCAGCGCCGGCACCCCGGGTTCTAGTCCTGGTTGGGGCACCAGATTCTGTCCCGGTTGTTCCTCTTCCTGTCCAGCTCTCTACTGTGGCCCAGGAAGGCAGTGAAGGATGGCCCAGGTGCTTGGGCCCTGCACCCACATGGGAGACCAAGAGGAAGCACCTGGCTCCTGGCCTCAGATCGGTACTGTGCCGGCCGCAGTGGCCATTTAGGGGGTGAACCAATGGAAGGAAGACCTTTCTCTCTGTCTCTCTCTCTCTCACTGTCTAAATCTACCTGTCAAAAAAAAATAATATGTATTTTCACAAACTTTTTGAAGATCCTTTGTATGCATGGATTTCAGAATTTTTTACACTGGAATAAGCTTATCTTTTAAATCCATTTTCCAAAAGCTTTTTGAAATATCCTGGTACAGTGGTACACTACTCTTGTTGTTGATACCTAGTGATGTGGATGGATCCCAAAAATGCCATGGTGGGACTGGCTGAGAGGAGGCAGGAGAGAGCTAAGGGGTGATGGGTGTAGGGACGAGAGGAGGAAGGAGGCCTAGGTTAATGAGAGCTCCCGCGTGAACTCCGCAGCTCCAGGTCGCCTGCAAGGCTCCTGTGGGTGTCTGTCCTGGGGCTACTCAGAGTAGTCCTGGAACTGAAGGCACAGCTTGGAAATATGGCGCCCGTTCCTGCGTGTGTGGATCATCACGTCTGAATGCAAGACCAGGCGTGTGAGAACGTGTTTATCAGGACAGACCGAGGGCAGATACCGGTGTTGAAATGGCTGCAGTGTTTGAAAGAAGTAGACCCACATCTCTGCAGGGTGCAGACTTCTGCAGTCAGACCAGTCACAGTGCAAGCCTTCAAGCCGTGGTCGGAGGGAATGGCACAGTGGCACGGTAGCTAAGCCGCTCCCTGCTCGGGACATCTGCACTGGGGTTAAGTCCAGTTACTCTGCTTCCAATGCAGCTGCCTGCTAACGCATCCTAGGAGGTGGCAGGCGAAGGCGCCAAGCGCCTGGGCCTCTGCCACCACAGGGGAAGACCCGGATGGAGTTCCCGTCCCGTGGCTTCAGCCTGGCCCAGCTCTGGCTATGGTGGGCATCTGGGAAGAGAATCAGCAGATGGCAGACTGACCTCTCTCTCTGTCTCTCTCTCTCTGGCTTTGAAGTAGATGTGGATAGATTGGATGATAAATTGATTGATTGATTGATTGATCACTTTCACATCAGTGCACACATACCTTGCTCTGAGGCACTCTTGCCTGATCCGAGTGGACCTCCAAAGAATTGCACACCCCAAGATCTGCTGCTTCCAGCTGGAGATGGTCTAGCCTGGCATCCGATGGTAATGCCTTGAAGAACAAGGAGCATTTGGTAAATATCCCCAAGTTAAGACGGGGGTGCATTCCAGGACCCCAGAGCTGTCCCAGAAACCCGTGCTTTAAGGGAAGTGATTACCGTGGGACGTAAGAGGCACAGGCAGGGTCTGATGGTTCTCCCAGAGGCCCAGCAGGAGGTGAACTTGTGCAGAGAGAGGAGGGACAAAGTGCAATTTCACTTAGGAAAAATGCGAGTTCATAGCAACACATTTAAAATAGCAGGATGTGTTTGCAACTTGGAAAACTGTCAGGTCAGCATTTCTCCACTTCATTCACTGCTGTGTTAACTGCGCTTCACCAGAAGAAATAATTGAATTTAAAATTAAGCATGGAGAGTCGCTGTCCAGAGTGGAGGCTGAGTCTTCTATTTGGTGGGAAATTAAAGGGGAACACCCGTTAGTTCTGTTCAGTTACCGCAGCGTACTGCACTGTTCAGTTATGGACATTAGAGGCATCGCCGGCTGCTGTGACTCTGGCTTTCCCTTGACCCCTAACGCCCGAGACGTGCCCGGCTGGGCTCGCTGGTCAGGCACAGGACAGCTGCCCTGGTTGCGCGGGTGGGAGCCACACGGGCTCCCTCGAGCTGACAGAGACTGGCAGCCGCTCCCAGGCACTAGAACGTCCTCGTGAATGCCCAAATACTGGTAAGAAATTTTTCTGTCCACTGAACATAGATTTTTTTATGCTTTTACTCTTCTATCCATAAATTCATAGGCAACGCTCTTCTCTGTTAATGTTTAACTTAATTAAATGTCAAGCACTCTTTCTTTTAGCTACTTTTTAATTGTGGTTAAAATATTTAGATAAACTTTTACTGCAGTAATAATACTGTTTTTAGGCTACAAATTCAAGGGAAAATGGATAGTTTTTCATTCTGTGTAGCACATTATTTAAATGTAGGAAAATACATTTCATTAACATCAGCAGTGTCACCAACAGAATTTTATTTCATTATTTCTCAAAACATTACAAGAAATACTTTTAAATTTTTAGAATTACTTTTATTTGTTTGGAAGGCAGAGATACACAGAGAGACAGAGCTCTTCTGTCTGCTGGTTCACTCCCCAGATGTCTGCAGCAGCCAAGGCTGGGCCAGGCCAGAGGCAGCAACCGGAACTCCATCCAGGTCTCCCGCATGGGCAGCAGAGGCCCAAGTACCTGCTCCCTCCCAGGCTGCACAATAGCAGGAAGTTAGAACGGAGACCGGACCTGGGACTTGGAGCGGGCACTCCCGCGTGGGATCCCGGTGTTCTAAGCAGTGCCTACCCACTCCACCAACAATCTTTGAAAGACCTAACTGTACTGTACAGACTCACTGAAGAAAGCTATGCACTCATGGCCCCGTTTGCACTTAGTCCAAGTTGAGTTCACAGGACTGGTCTAAGTGGTTGCAGTACGGCTTGCTGCCTGGTGGTTTATCCCAGCCCATTCGTACTGCTGTCACACGAGCCGCACACTGGGTAATTTATAAAGAACAGAAATGTGTCTCCTCACCATTCTGGAGACAGAAGTCCCAGATCAAGGTGCCGGCTGGCTCTGCATCGGGTGAGGGCCTCGGGGCTGGCTCTCTGGAGTGATGGAATTCTGTGCCTTCCTGTGCGGGAAGGCGGAAGGGCAGGCAAAGCCAGCCACGCGGTGTGTGAGCCTTTGGGCAGAGCCCTCGAGACTCCCTCGCCTCCGAGGGCCCCCTCTTCTAACCTCCACGACAGGGACTGAGTTTCAGCACGAACTTTGGAAGGACCACATTCAATCCACAGCCTCCTTACGGGGCACCATGCTTGGTGTGTCCAGTGTTGCGGTGGAATGAGAACACGCCTCAGATCTCTGGGGGTGGACACCAGTGCGTGACCAACAGGCCCCTTCTCTGCCCTGGTCTCAGACCAGTTGGAGGGAGACAGAACCAGCAGGTGACAAAGCGGATGCAGAGGCGAATGATCCGATGGAAGGGCCTCCAGCCTAGACCCTGAGGCAGGCCTCGCCGGGGAGGGCTGACACTGCAGAACAGACTATTGACCCAGGGCGAGAGCAGTGGAAGAGAGTTTAATAAAACACTGGGGAAAATCCTACTCGGGGAACCCAGACAAGTGAGAGAAACCAATCTGCTTCTTTAGAGCTCAAATGAATTAAAAACCATCACATTTCTTTTTCTTTAAAAAAGATTTTATTTTTGTTTTTTTCGAAAAGCAGAGTTACCCAGAGAGAGGGGGAGACAGAAAGAGAGAGGGGAACGGTGGAAGCGCTAACTTCCATCTGCTGGCTCACTCCCCAGATGGCTGCAACTGCCAGGTCTGTGCAGGCTGAAGTCGGGAGCCTGGAGCTTCCTCCGGGTCTCCCACATGGTGCAGGGGCCCAGGTACTCAGGCCATCTTCTGCTTTCCCAGGTGTGCTAGCAGGGTGCTGGATCAGAAGTGGAGAAGCCGGCTCAAACTGGTGCCCATATGGGATGCCAGCATTACAGGTGGCAGCTTCATCCACTGTGCCACAGCACCAGCCCCCAAACCAGCATATTTCAAATCGTGACTCCATTTCCAGGGTGGATGGAGGGATAAAGGCCTTTTCCTTTCCAAATAACATTAAGATAAGCTGATATCACAATTAGTGGTATCTACATTGCCATGTTAATTCCAATTAATGATATGAGTATAATAAAGTATGCGCATCCGGCAAGAGGTAGCTAGCTCTGGGTATCCAGGCAAAATATAGGAGCTGATAGCAACAAATAAAACTATAGTGTCCCATTAATGCTCAAGAAAAGCTGGGGGTGAGCCTCTGGTGCAGCAGGCAAGTCACTTGGGACTGCTCCAGCTTCCTGCTGATGGCAGGTGGTGGCTCGAGTACGTGGGCCGCTGTCACCCTCACAGGGCCCTCAGTTCCTGCAGTCTCCAGCGCGGGTGTGGCCTGGGTCAGCCTCTGCTATTGCAGGGTGTTTAGGGAGTGAGCCAATGGAGGGGAGATTCTCCTCCCTCTCTGCCTTTCAAATAAAATGAAAATAATTTTCAGAGAGCTAGATTATTTCCGCATCAGTTATTGTTACTGTTAGTTACAGCAGTCAGCTGTAGAGACAGTTCATAGAACTGCACCTGGCCTCCGCCCTGGTTTTCCCTCCACGGCCAGCTCTTGGTGTCTGGTGATGGAGCCCAGCACCAGCACCGCCCTGCTTTCCTGCCCCCGTCCTCTCCCCCTGCCGCTCTCCCTGCAGTGCGTGCCGTCCGTCCTGCCAGCACCATGGGAAGAGCTGCCTGCACCTGCTTCCAGACCCCACCCTGCACTCCCTCGTGTTTCTCTAGTCCCTGGACTTCTTCCTTTTTGTAGCCTTCTGCTCATCAGCAGATCTTGAAAACACCCTCGCTTCAGCCCACAGGCTGCTCCCAGGCTGCTGGACACCCCGAAGTAGGCTTCTCAGGGGAGTTGCCTGTGCCTTGCTGAAATTGCTGTCCCAGCATCAGTCAGCCGCCAGCACAGGCCCTGTGGCCCGTTCCTGGGACATGCTCCCCTCCTGCCCTGGCCCCTGGCGCTCAGTGCCTTCCTGGGCTGCTAGTGTGTCCCTGAGTCCTTCTTGTTGACCAAGTCCCAGGCCTTGGCAGCTCCTGGCCGCTGCACACCCTCGCTGGGCTCATTCTCCTGCATCCCATACTCTTATTCCCCAAAGCCACCCCTCTCCTCCCTGCCTTCAGGCAGCGTCTCCCCTTTGTGTTGCTAGCCTTGGTGCCGCTGCGTCTGTCCTCCCAGCCCAGCTCTCTGCACTGCCCGACACGCATGGTCGGCCATCAGAGGCTACAGACAGCGTTGCTAAAGAACGCTGATCCATCAGGCACCAGGACTTCTTCCCTCGTCTGATCTCTCCCTCTGCATCTCACCCCGCTCAGATTCAGGCCCTGCCTCTCCTCAGAATCCTTCCGTGGTCCCCCTGGGTCCCGAGGGGAGAAGACGGCTGTGATACTGCTCAGAGCTGACCCGCACGGCTCACCGGGCCTGGTCTCCAGCCCCGGCACCTTGCACTGTAGTCAGTCGTCCACTGGGCGCCGTGATGGTCCTGGCACGTGGCGTTCCCCTCCCATGCTGCCTGCCTCCCCTGCCTTTCCCTGCCGCCCACCTCAGCCCGTGGGAGCCTGGCGCTGTGAGCCTTCGCTCACGGTGTCTGCTGTGTGCCGCCCGCTGGCTGTCGTGCCTGCACTGTGCACTCTCCCCACATTGGTGCTCCTCCGTATCCACGCCCACCGAGGGAACTGGCTCAGAGGAAGCATTTGGCAAAAGACTTATTCAGTAATTACTTGCTTGGTTTTAATGAGAGACACCTTGGTGAGGATTACTCTTAAGGAAGATAGCATTAATTAAAATACCAGCTTACAGTACCGTGGGTTTTTTTTTTTTTTTTGTACTATCTGTTTATTTTAGAGGTAGTGGGGTGGGGAGGGGGCAAGCAAGCCAGCTCCCATCCGCTGATTCACCCCTGTACTGACCACAGCAGCCAGGGGGCCCAGGCTGGAACCAGAAACTCAGTTCAGGTCTCCCACAATGGTGACAGAACTCAAGTGGCTGGCCCAGCACCACGGCCTCCCAGCGTCTGCATGAGCCCGAAGCCGGAAGCAAACCCAAGCACTCTGATGTAGGACGTGGTCGTCTGAACCTGAGTCTCCGCTACGAGGCTGAACACTGAGGGGGAGACTCTCAGCAGAGCGCCAGATGGCCGAGTCAGCAGTTTCTCACCCAGTAGTTGTCAGGGAAGGTGACCTTGGGTCACTAGGTAGGGGAAAGGTTACCAAAAATAACACACGGGGTACCCATTTGGAGAGAATTGGTTATTGTAGAAACACATACAATGCCAGAGGCCTCCGAAACAGGGTTGCACCTTTCCAAATTCATTCTGAAGACCGTCTGGACCTCCCAGAAGTCTAAGGGCACCATTAGGAGATGGTGGGGGCTTTTCTCAGTGGCCGGCTCTCTCCTCTGGGTGGAGTGTGTTGGCATTGGTGACGTAGGGGTTCCCCTCGCCCCCACCGTGCCGCCTGGGTCCCTTGTGCTCCTGCTGCTGAGCGGCTCCGCTCTTGGTGCTGTTGGCTCTTGGTCGGCACAGCTGCCACGAGTGGTCTTCATCTTTGAAGGGAGCGTCTAATCCGCAATCTTCCCTTTATTGAACTCTGCAGGCATGCTTGATTGATTCCTGGGATCACTCTTAATTTCACTTAAAATGTGTTATGAGGTAGATTTTGATGGTCTTGTATTTCGTAAAGAAGGTCAATCCTAGTTGGTCATCCTTTAAAAAAAAATTATAGCTTCGTTGTTCAAGTTCATTTACTTCCCCCAACATTTTTTTTTGTTTTTTAAACAGTTTAGTAGTGCTGCAAAACCGTTTGTACAGTGCTTTGGACATTTGGTTATAATTTTTTTATCTGCCAAGGATTTTTCAATAAAGCTAAATTTTGGCTCTAATGGTCTTAAATGTGAAATTTATTAACCTTGAGGTGACCTGTGGCCTACATATTTTCTTCATTGCATATCTTATCTGCTGAAATATTTATTATGTATTAAATTGATAGCTGTAAACTATGCTGTTTGGGTAACTGAACGTGCCATTGTGCACAAACAGTCTAAGTCATTTAAGAGAGCTTTTTATTAGGGAAGTTTTCAGACATCTACCAAAATAGAACAGTATAAGAAGTCCCCGTTGACCTGTTTGCCAGCTTCAGCAGTTACCAGCTCTGACCACACTTGTTCTGTCTGTACCCCGCTTCTCCCCGCTGAACCCCGTTTCTCCCTGCTGAACCCCCTTCTCCCTGCTGAACCCCATTTCTCCCCCACTGTACCCCGCTTCTCCCCGCTGAACCCCGTTTCTCCCCGCTGAACCCGCTTCTCCCCACTGAACCCCCTTCTCCCCGCTGAACCCCGTTTCTCCCCGCTGTACCCCACTTCTCCCTGCTGAACCCCATTTCTCCCCACTGAACCCCGCTTCTCCCCGCTGTACCCCGTTTCTCCCCCCCACTGTACCCCACTTCTCCCCGCTGTACCCCGCTTCTCCCCACTGAACCCCGCTTCTCTGCGCTGTACCCCACTTCTCCCTGCTGAACCCCGCTTCTCCCTGCTGTACCCCGCTTCTCCCTGCTTCTCCCCGCTGTACCCTGTTTCTCCCCGCTTCTCCCCGCTGTACCCCGCTTCTCCCCGCTGTACCCCGCTTCTCCCAGTGCCCCCAGAGTCTCAGGCTGTTCTGAAGTAGGCCCAGCTCTGGAGCCTTCCATCCTTGCCCTCGCCTTTTCTCCAAGATGCGTAACCGTGAAACCTTGTAAACGAGCAGTAATTCCTTCGTGTCATCAGTATCCAGTCTTAGTTCAAATTCTCATGGAAACTATGGAAGGTTTGTTCGGATCAGGATTTAATCAAGTTCAGTGTGTTGTGCTTTTGGTTGGTCTCTTATATTTTTTCTAAATTATGTGATCCCAGTTCAGTTCATGTGGCCAGTAAATCAGGGTCTCAGTTCTGTAGGTTTCCTCACATTCTGGATTTTTCCCCATTGCTTCCTGGTGGTGTCATTTAACAGGCCTCTCTGTCCCTGCTGTTTCCTATAAGTGTGTGGCTGATAAATAGCTTTACCAGTTTTAGGACTGGTTTTGTTTTCATGTTATTTGCTTCTACCAATAAGTATGTAGTGTTTGGTTATCTCTGTTTGTGATACTAAGATTGAAAATTGGATTCAGTTGTTATCAGCATGGCCCACCCTTTACAAGTTGTCCACAGACATTTCATCTAACAGATTCAGCACCGTTACTGATTTTTCCCGTAATCTATTTCTCACCATGGGCTGGAAAATAATGATTTTCAGCTGGAACACTAAATTTAAAAATGTTTTCCATCAGCCCTGGTTACTTGGGAGTGCAGTTCCTCCAGGAGGAGCAGAAGCGATGCTTGATTGTTGATGCGGTTGTTCCCAAAATGAACTGGTTCTCTAGCGTTTTGCAAAGGTCGTGAATGAAGGTTCTTTTTAATTCTTAAAAAATAACCCGTGGTGTGAAAGTAGTGGATGAGCTTGAATTCGCCATGGCATTTGTAGTCACGTCTGATCGCACCGTGCGCCCCTCGGGCAGGGGGCCGAGGGGTCTCTTGGCGCATGCTCCGCCTGCTGCAGGTGCGGCCTCCCCGCGCGCTGCCCCGTGTCCTGTGCTCTCTGTGGCTTCCTCATGCTGTTGGAAAGGAATGAGAGCCTATCAGATGCATCGCCTTGCACTCTCTTACTCTTTCACACTGAGTGTCAGCCTCCCCCACCACGTACCCCCACGCCTTTGGTCATCTCTCACTCCCACTGACTCTTATCCAGAAGTGTGTTCTACCATTGCAAGCCGTGTTAGCTGCAATCACATCCACCCAGTGTCTCCTGCCTTCCAGGGTCCCACTGCCTCTGCCGGGAACCGCACGGCAGCCAGCCCTGCTCCTGCCGCACAGATGGGGGGCCACCGCTGCCCTCCGCAGGGTCTCTGCGGTTAGCAGGCTTTGGGACAGGCGTGCTCTGGCGTTGTTCTGCACCTGTGTTGTGACACTTCGGAGCTTCTGTGGAAAGTGCTGGGGATTTTTTTTCCTCTCACTTTACCTGATTTTGTTTGTCTAATTATAGATCTGAGAGACTCTTTCCAGAATTCACTGACAGGCTTTCCAGCGCGAGTAAACACCGAGATAACAGGCGGCAGACCCTTGGGTGTGCACCACCACCCTGGCGTCCTTTGCTCCACCCCAGTTTGTTTCCTTTTGGCCTTGGCTGCACTGAGGTCAGTGTCAGCACTGAGATCTGCAAGTGTTCATCTGCAGGGCTCGCTCTGAGGACGTCGCCGGGGCGCCCTGGGCCTGCCCTGAAGAGCTGGGAAGCCTTGGGTGCCCCACACCTGAGGCCCAGGGGTCCCCGCTCAGGCAGCCCAGCCACCCGCCCCTGTTTGCCTGGGGGCCGGTGCAGTGATGTAACTGGCCAAGCTCGACGCGGTGGCCGGCGGCCATTGTGTCTTCATAGCCTGGGAGTTGCCTCGGCTGTACCCCAGCCCCGCTCTCCCTTGCCGTCCTGGTGCCGGTGAAGGGCCGGCCGTGCTCCCACCCTCGGTGGTTTGGATGCCTCCAGGCTCTGGTTAGAGATGAGAGCGAGCGAAGTGCGGGTGGGGTGCCCCGGTCCTATTCTCTTCTGCAGACTGCTCCAGAACGTTACTTTGCACTGAAGACGGTGGCAAGTGTGCGTCCCAGTTATTTATGACGTGCGTCACGCTAGAAAGCTGGGGTTCAGATGGCTCGCAGATGTTACACTTGTCTCTCCTACAGAATTCTAACTCTCCACCAAAGGGCCTTCATGTTTTAGTCCCTGGCTAACAGGATCTGTAGGATTTAAGGAAGAACGGTGAAACTCAGCACCAACAGGCTGACTGAAACAAACCCTCCCAGCGGCTTTGCGCTCAGGGCAGCCCCTGGAGGCGCTGTGTGGGGTCTCGGTGACTGACCTGGCCGTGCCTGCTGAGCCGGGCAGCTGTGCGTACACAGACGTTCCGACGGCTTTAGAGCCGGTGAGAGACAAGAAGCCCCAACTGTTCTACTCCCAACGCTCACATTCCCTAACCTGCCTTCCTAGTCGTGAACCAGTGTGTTCGTTTCTTAATTTCTTTGTGTTTCTGGGGGGTGACAAGCTCGGAACAGCGGAAATTAATTCCTAGAGCTAAGGTGGACACTGTGTGTCGCGTGTCTGTCCTCCATGCCGTTAACGACCGCACGTGTGTTTATAGCATGGGACTCGGTAGAGCCAGATACGTTAGTTTCATCAAAAACACCATTTGAATGCTTCTCTTGTGGACAGAACTGAAAGAGAAAGGCTTTGAGGACTGGTACTTTAGGGGTAAGCCTCGCTGCTCGTCATTCTCAAGCTTTTCGTGTGCACGGGTCTGGTCCTGGGCTCCTGTCACCTCCTCTTCTCAAACCTGCAGGACCCGCCGCCCTGGCTGGGACCCCACCTCCTCACTCCTCCTCTCCTGGACACCGTGTGCAGCTGGCGTCCTGGTTCTCTGTCCCTGAGTCTGTCCCCAGGCAGAGCTTCCAAGAGGGGCTGTCTTCCTCCTCCAGGAGAGCCTGCAGTACAGAGCAGCTCAGAACCACGCTCGGGGCACGGGACGGGCAGGTGGGCATGCACGCTGCGGTAGGAGATGAACACCTGGGAGAGCGCAGGAAGCCCACTAAGCCACCTCCCCTCTGCGCTCACGAGTGCCCTCTCCCCCTGCGTCTCGCCCAGCACCAGGATGGGGCCCCGGGGAGAAAGGCACTCAGTGGAGAACGGGCTGGCTTCAGCCTTCTGGCCACCACCCTTGGTAAGCGGCAGGAGCCAGTCAGATGCGTCGTCCTCAGCATGCAGGTGGAACACTTTCCAAGTATTTTAAAATAACAGTCTCTTGACTATTTCCTAAGAGTCCACATAGAAGAGAGGCTCGCAGTCCTGGGAGGAATGAGACTTAACACACTCCCGCCTTGTTGTTGAGGAGGCCGAGGCCTGGTGACGTCTGTATAAGGCCTGGTGATGTGTGTGTAAGGCCAGTGACGCGTGTGTAAGGCCTGGTGACGTGTGTATAAGGCCTGGTGACGTGTGTGTATAAGGCCTGGTGACGTGTGTATAAGGCCTGGTGACATGTATAAGGCCTGGTGACGTGTGTGTATAAGGCCTGGTGACGTGTGTATAAGGCCTGGTGACTTGTGTGTAAGGCCGGTGACGTGTGTGTAAGGCCTGGTGACGTGTGTATAAGGCCTGGTGACGTGTGTGTATAAGGCCTGGATGTGTATATAAGGCCTGGTGACGTGTGTGTAAGGCCTGGTGACGTGTGTATAAGGCCTGGTGACGTGTGTGTATAAGGCCTGGATGTGTATATAAGGCCTGGTGACGTGTGTATAAGGCCTGGTGACGTGTGTGTATAAGGCCTGGATGTGTGTATAAGGCCTGGTGACGTGTGTATAAGGCCTGGTGACCTGTGTGTATAAGGCTGGTGACCTGTGTCTATGGCCTGGTGACGTGTGTATAAGGCTGGTGATGTGTATAAGGCCTGGTTACGTGTGTATAAGGCTGGTGATGTGTATAAGGCCTGGTGACATGTGTATAAGGCTGGTGACGTGTGTATAAGGCCTGGTGACGTGTGTATAAGGCTGGTTACGTGTGTATAAGGCCTGGTGACGTGTGTATAAGGCTGGTGACGTGTGTATAAGGCCTGGTGACGTGTGTATAAGGCCTGGTGACGTGTGTATAAGGCTGGTTACGTGTATATAAGGCTGGTGACGTGTGTATAAGGCCTGGTGACGTGTGTATAAGGCTGGTTACGTGTGTATAAGGCCTGGTGACGTGTGTATAAGGCTGGTGACATGTGTATAAGGCCTGGTGACGTGTGTATAAGGCTGGTTACGTGTGTATAAGGCCTGGTGACATATATAAGGCCTGGTGATGTGTGTATAAGGCTGGTGATGTGCATAAGGCCTGGTGACGTGTGTATAAGGCTGGTGACGTGTGTATAAGGCTGGTTACGTGTGTATAAGGCCTGGTGACGTGTGTATAAGGCTGGTTACGTGTGTATAAGGCCTGGTGACATATATAAGGCCTGGTGATGTGTGTATAAGGCTGGTGATGTGTATAAGGCCTGGTGACGTGTGTATAAGGCTGGTGACGTGTGTATAAGGCTGGTGATGTGTGTATAAGGCTGGTTACGTGTGTATAAGGCCTGGTGACGTATATAAGGCCTGGAGCAGCATCTGGTTGAAAGCCCAGGACTTGTCCTTCTGCCTCCTCACCACTGTCCAGAAATACATGTATTAAATAATTAACAAGCTAATGCATGTGCCTAATGTCGACATCACATAGACAGCACAAAAATCGTTAGTGGCTAGGTTTTACGTGTTTGGAACAAGATACAGCCAAGCAGTATGGGAGCAAATTAAAGACAATGTTAGTAAAATCTTTTTATTACACAGACTGTTTACTTGGAATATGGAGTCTTTTGGGGATCAATTTACTTCAATTTGGTGGTAATATCTCATACTAATAATCAAGAGTTTTGAGTGACAACCAAAGTAAATTCATAAATATAACTTGAAGCATCCATTTTTCTTTCCTGGAATTGCGGCCATTTCTGGCTATAAGCGGTGTGACAGCCTGTGATTAGAACGCATTCAGCGAGTTTGTGTATTGAAGGGCTTTAATGCTGGGTTTTATGAAACCATAGAAAGCCACCTCCGCTGACTTTTAAATATGATGGTAGGAAAGAAATGAATATTCTTGTACTCTACGGTTGGGTGGTATAAATGAAAAGAAAATTGCTATATATTCTTGGGGATTTTTTTCTTCTTCTTTTAAAACAATTTTTAAAAATTTGGGAGGCGGGGGGAGGGGGAAGGAGAGAGACTGCGAGAGAGCGAGCGAGAGAGCTCCTGTCCATTAATTTACTCCCCCAAATATCTGAAACAGTCAGGGCTTGAAGCTGGGAGCCAGGGACTCCATCCAGGTCTCCCATGAGAGTGGCAGGGGCCTGGAAGCCTAGGCCATGGCTGCCATCTTCTAGCAGGAAGCTGGAGCCGGGAGGCAGGGGGGCGTCCAACCTCAGCACCCCTCTGTGAGAGGCCGTGGCTGCCGTCTTCTAGCAGGAAGCTGGAGCCGGGAGGCAGGGGGGCGTCCAACCTAAGCACCCCGCTGTGAGACACGGGCATCTTAAAGGCTGGGCCGAAAACCTAACTACTCTTCTTTTTTATTTTCCTTATTTTTTGGTTTGTGCTATGGCTCCTTTTTATACTCTGCTAAGGAAGCAAAGTGCAGTGATTTTTTTTTTCTTTTTCAAGCTAGAGCTGGGCTACTTGTGGACACGGGAGCACGCAGACCAGTGCCGCCCTGCTGCAGTCCCCACGGGCAGACAGGCCGTGCACTTGAAAGATACTGGGCGTGCTGGCCGTGACCCAGTTCCATTCCACTCTGCTCGCTGAGAAAAACGAGCATTCATTCCCACCAAGAGACGTGACCAGCTGGATCCGTAACAGCCCCGTTTGGAATAGCTGGAAATTGGGAGCAGGAGAACGAGTGAGTGCCTCATGAGACGGGCACGGCGTACAGTCCTGTGCCGTAGTGAAGACAGGCACGCTCCCCCGTGTGCAGCAGCCCCCGCCGTTCTCACGGGTGGGAGTGTTGGGAGGAAGAAGCGAGCCAGGAAAGCATGCGTCCCGCTCACCTCCGGTGATCCTGAGCCGGCACCGCAGCCTCTGAGGACAGAGGCCAGGATAGCAGTCACTCTTTGGACCAGGAAGCAGCACGGCGGGTCTGCTGGGATACTGGACGTAGGTATATGTGTCACAAAAGGGAAGCCGAGTCAGGCTGTATATATGAGGGCTGGGCACTTTACCTTATGTAATTCTGCTTGATTTTGAGAGAGATGGGAGGCAGCATCAGTCGACCTGAAAGCGTTGACAGTCGGTTAGTCATCGGAGCCCATTGCGCACCTCTTGCCGATACTCTTCCAAACCGCTGGGTCATAGTTTCTTAGCTACAGAAGCCCCTAGAGCCAAGTGTCCAAGTACAGTGAACTTAAAGATAGACCCTCAGTCATTTCAGCTTCAGTTCTGAACCACTCTATACTGCTGAGCGCCAAGCTGACTGTAAATTGTGGATCGTTGTCTCGTCCTCCTCTGCTCCCTGGAAAAGGATTTGGGCTCTGTACCCACGGAGGCCTGGCCCAGCCCTGTGGACCGTGCCGTGAGCTAACCAGCTCCTGCTCTTCCCACTCTGCCCCGCTCGGGTGGTTGGGAAGAATGTGGGAAGGAGCAGCCTCTCTGAGGCCGGATCCCTGCGAGGCCCAGGAGTCTGCCCGTGTGACCTGCCTGGATGCAGCCGTGAGCAGGAAGTGCACCGGCTGTTGCCCCCAGTGCTGAGATCATTGGGTGGTCTTTGAGCTGTAACATATCTTAGCTGAACCACACGAGTGATCACTGTTTCCTCTTCATTTCTTCCTTTTCTGATATTTTTCTTAAGTTTTGTATAGGGAGTTTTGTAAATTTTTATTTCATATATATTTTTGTGGTATACAGAATACATTAACATTGTGGTACATATATTTATAAATTAGAGGTGACGTGTTTATATCACTAGAAACACACACACACACACACACACACACACACCAGCAGGCCCAGTCACTCTTTTACCTCTGATTTGAGCAATCAGAAACTTCCAAGACCGCTTTCCTGGACTGTGCATCCTGACAGGCACAGTGCCTTGGTCACTGTTGAAGCCCCCACTGCAGGGAGCCCCTTATGTGATAAGTTCTCGACAGGTGTCAAACAAAGGAACTCCTGGGCAAGCAACTGGAGTCCGATGCTCTGAGAATCCTGTGGGCCTGGGTGTTTGCTCAGGCATCGGCCTGCTTTCAGGTGCCTGTGGGACTGCAGCCGAGACCCCGGTGTGCATGGCTGTAGGAACGGCACGTCGGGAGCCAGGGAACAGCATGGGTCATCACAGCTCCAGGGCTGGCCTTTTGAGGTTTTAAGTGTGCGCTGTTGAAAATGAAATACTAGGGGCTGGCGCTATGGCATAGCGGGTAGAGCACCGCCTGCAGTGCCAGCATCCCATCTGGGCGCCAGTTCGAGTCCCGGCTGCTCTACTTCTCATCCAGCTCTGTTATGGCCTGGGAAAGCGGTAGAAGATGGCCCAAGTTCTTGGGCCCCTGCATCCAACATGGGAGACCCAGAAAAATCTCCTGGCTCCTGGCTTCGGATCTGTACAGCTCCAGCCATTGTGGCCATCTGGAGACTGTCCCTTATTAGCTCTTCCTGTGTTCCATGGTAACGAGTCCAGTCTTAGCAGTGCAGTGACTGCTCGGTGACAGGACAGAACCACCCAGCGCTTTCCAGAATCTGCCGAGCACTGGCCGGGGGGGGGGGGGGGGGGCTTCCCGGTTTCCACTCACTCACCCACAGGGGCCGCACAGCTAGGGGACAGAGCCCAGATTCGGCCTGAGCCATGCGTCTCACGAATATTTTAATTTCATTGAAATCATTATTATTACTTAAGAAAAAAGACTTCCTGGGAATTTGAAAATTGAGCAGTCACCCCCAGACCCACCTGTGGAGGGAGTGCTCTGCCCAGGACTGGCCGTTCACGGTGTACGGCAGATGCTCATTTCATGTGTAGAATGGATCCTGTTTTCTTGTCACTTACACTTTTCCAATAAAAAAATGTTTTATTTGCCAAAAGACTAACCCGAAACAAATAAGTATAATTTTTCAGTCTTGTTAAATTAACTTCCTACCTTTAAGCCCAAAATTTAGTGCATCAAGCTTCTGAATGATGAAAGTGACATTTTACACTAACTGCATGAAGTGTCCCAAACTGTTATATGTCAGGATAATCCATGGTCTGTTTTATACTTCATTCTTTAACTTCTTGTTTTTAAAGATTTGTTTTTCATTTGAAGGTCTGAGTTAGAGAGAGAGAAGGAGAGACAGATGGAGCTCTTCCATCCTCTGGTTCACTCAGATGACCACAAAATCCAATACTGGGCCAGACTAAAGTCAGGAGCCAGGAACGCCATCCAGGTCTCCCACAAGGGTGGTAGCGGCCCAGGCACTTGGGCCATCCGCTGCTGCTTTCCCAGGCCATTAGCAGGGAGCTTGACGGGAAGTGGAGCAGCCGGGACTCGAACCAGCGCCCACTTGGGATGCTGCTGCTGGAGGCAGTGGCTCTGCCTGCTGCACTACAGCTGTGGCCTGCATGCTTTAACTTTTGAAATGAGAAGGGCAGTTGTTTCTCTTGCCTGTAATTTGAGTCTTGAAAGCTGTTTGTGAAAGTTACAAATGCTGAACTCTTAAAAATATAAATCGTTATTGAGGGAAAAAAAAAAAAAAACCATGAAATCATTTCACTTATTTCTGCTGCTGGTGATGTTTTCTGTTAGCTAAAAGAGTGTTCCTATTCACACTGATCTTATTGATCAGTGGAGAGTATATTGATTAAATAAAAAAAAAAAAAAAAGAAGAAGAAGAAGAAAGGAAAGGCGGGGGAAGGATCCTGGGATTGAAGACAGAAAGCTGTAGCGGCCGAAGCAGTTCTCAGACACTGCACCTGGAGGGCACCCTTCTTCAGAGGTTCGGGTTAGAAGTCTGCTGTCTAGGAGGAGGCACTCATCAACTTGAGAGCAAGTACGCTAAATCGTGAAAGCCGGGGGCTTATCACCGTTCTCTGTCCCAGCAGACGCTGATCGTGCCGCAGGAGATGTAGGCCTTTCTGTCTGGTCAACGCAGATAGACTTTCTGGGTACCTTTTCTTAATAGGCAGTAATTTTGCTAGGCCTTCAGAGTCTAATTGAAGAGCTGATCACTTAACAAAACAACACCCAAGTTCTTTCATGTACTCTTTCAGTTTGACAATAAAAAAAGTACATTGTGGGATATTTATAGTATTTTTGATCTATTTTTGTCAGTAGACTAGGAGTAATAACTGATTTAGGGCACAGGGTTAAAAACAGGAAATGTGGTTTACACAGGAGGTAGTAGCAACTCCAGAGTTTCCAGAGCCTGACTGCTCTGTGTTGACTGCAGGCTGTCATCTTTCACAACAACACGAGGCAGAGCCCTTGCGTCTGTCCAAGTGTGACAGGAAGTGCTTCATGGAAAGGTTTGCATTCTTGGTATAGGACGGGTGGAATCGCGGTTGTTTTCTGTAACTACACAGTGCCCTTCCTCCTCGGCTCCCTTACACATCTCACACAGTCAGATTGGTAGGAGTCTTGTGTAACTTCTAGTAAATTTCCTTTGACCTTTCTGTTTTGCTTAAAATGTTGTTTTAATGAAAAGTTTTATCAAGGGAGTTTTAAGAATGTTTTAAACGGACTAGTAAATACCGGAGGAGAAGCTACCTGGAGGAGAAGCGTATATTAGGGAAACTATTAATTGTTGCAGTCAGGGAATCCATGTTAAAATAGAAGGCATGAAGAAACAAGCGTGTCATTTCGAATGGCCTTTTGAATGACAGCCTGACAGAGTCCATCAAAAGAGGAAACCTACCGACTCATCAATTGCACTTTCAGAAAGATTCCTTACAGAAATTATTCTGTTAGGACACAGGCACCTGTGTTCCTTGCAGAATTATAGTACCGAACACAGAAAGGTAACATCACTGTGTAACAATCAGAGCGTGGTTAAATGAATCATGACACACCCATGTTGGAGGATACCAGGCAGGTGCTGGGAATTATAAGGTAGAGTTGTCATCATGGAAGAAGGTCTGCTTGGAAGACAGGCCAGAGACCTTAACAGACACCTCACCGAGGAAGATACATGGACACTCAGCGTCATGCCTCACTAGGGATTTGTAAATGAACACAGCAGTGGGATACCAGCACACTCCTCTTAGAAGGACCAAACCCAGAGCGCTGACACACCAAGTGCCCCAGGGACGTTGCCACAGCAGCTTGGCTCGCTGCGGTGAGACTGCAGAGTGCTCCGGCCGCTTGGGAGGACAAGCCGCAGACTCGGAAACGAGGCGCGCCCTGACCGTGGCATCCCGCAGCGGCGCTGCTTGACGTCCACCCAGAGGAGCTGAAAACTTGGACCTGCACGAAAACCCGCTCACCCGTGTTCCTCGCAGCCTTATTCGTAGTTGGCGAAACTTGGAAGCAGCTAAGATGTACTCCGGCAGGTGGTGCGCGCAGATGATGGAGTACTACACCGCGCAGAGTCGAGCGCTCAGACCGCGAGAGGACTTGGAGGAAGGAAGCCAACGAGAAAAGCCCACTCGTTGGACAACTGCAGCTGCGTGGCGCGCGGGAGAGGGAAGGGGGCAGTGGCTGCCGGGAGCTAGCAGGGCGGAAGGGGGAGGTAGGAGAGGGAGCACAGAGGGCCGTTCGGACTGTGAAATACTCGGGACACTGACGGCAGATGCATGTCCTAGCTGCGGCCGAATTTATAGAAGACGCAACACCATGAGCAACCCTCGCGTCGACACGTCGACTGTGCAGGCAGCACCGCGGCGCGCAGGCTGGCCCTGGGGAGGCTCTGCGTGGGAGGGCCCGGGAGCCGGAGCTCGGCGGCGCTGGGCAGGCTTGTTTCCTCTTTCTGCGAATCCTAAACGCCTCCAAAAAATAAAGATGATTAAAACCGAAGAGCTAGATTATGGGAAGGAGTAATCAGGTGTGAGGAGGATGTGTAGTGTCATGTCGCTTTTTCAGGAAAGAAGATGTATTGCTAGGGAAAAAGTCTGGAAGGATTGCGTTGTCCAGAGTTGTGATTGCTGGGGTGATGGGTGGAGGAGGGGCTCTTATTGATTGTTATGTGAGCTTCCGCTGAATCGTTTTCAGGTTTTTTGGTTTTTTTTTTTTTTTTGATGAACATTTGCTTTATCCAATTTTCAAAATACAAAAAGTTAAGAACAAAGATTTCATCAGTCCAGATTATTGGATATTCAGTTCTTTATTTAAAAAAAATGATTTATTTATTTACGTGAGAGGCAAAGTTACAGGCAGAAAGAGAGGTCGTCCATCAGCTGGTTCACTCCTCAAATGGCTGCAGTGGCCAGAACTGGGCCGATCCGGAACCAGGAGCCAGGAGCTTCTTCCAGGACTCCCACGTGGTGTTTTGTTTGTTTCTTTTGTTTTGTTTTTGTGTTTTTGTAGCTGTTGTGGATGGGATTGATCTTAGAAGTTCTTTCTCAGCCATAACATTGTCTGTGTATATAAAAGGCTGTTGATTTTTATGTATTGATTTTATATCCTACCACTTTACCAAAGTCTTCTACGAATTCCAATAGTCTCTGAGTGGAGTCCTTTGGATCCCCTAGATATAGAATCATGTCATCTGCAAAAAGGGCTAGTTTGACTTCCTCCTTCTCAATTTGAACCCCTTTGATTTCTTTTTCTTGCCTAATGGCGCTGGCTGAAATTTCCAGGACTGTATTGAGTAGCAGTGGTGAGAGTGTGTATCCTTGTCTGGTTCAGATCTCAGTGGGAAGGCTTCCAACTTTTCCCCATTCAATACGACGCTGGCCGTGGGTTTGTCATAAATTACCTTGATTGTGTTGAGGAATGTTCCTTCTAGACCCGATTTGCTTAGAGTTTTCATCGTGAAAAGGTGTTGTATTTTATCAAATACTTTCCCTGCATCTGCTGAGATAATCATATGGTTTTTGTTCTTCGATTTGTTAATATGATGTATGGGTGCAGGGGCCCAAGCACTTGGCCATCTTCCCCTGCTTTCCCAGGTACATTAGCAGGGAGCTGGATCAGAAGTGGAGCAGCTGGGACTCTAACTGGTGCCCATATGGGATGCTGGCACTGCAGGTGGAGGCTTAACCTACTACACCACAGCGCTGGCCCCAAGATACTCAGTTCTTTAATGAAGACATTTCTCTCGAGTGGTCTACCTAGCAAATTTGTCCAAATTTTTAATAATAAGAATCAAGTCTCTATCTGTATAGCACTGTGTAACTTACAAAGCGTCTTCCCACATGTTAAAGAAAACCTGAAGCTCACAGGAATGAACTGATGTGTCAGGGCACTCCAATACCCAGCTGCACGTTTGGCAGTGGGAGTTACTGACCGCTGAGCACTGCTCCGTGAGACGGGCACAGGAGGAGCGCAGACTTCTCAGCGGGGGCGCGAAGGAGCATTTGCGTGAGAGATGCTGTCTCCCTCCTCAGCACGGACCCCACCGGCTGCCTGTGTGGTTTCACCATTGGCCAGAACAGTTTGGCCGTGGTTCCCTTCCTCAGTCTACTTTTTTGTTTTTGTTTTTGTTTGTTGTAGCTGTTGTGAATGGAGTTGATCTTAGAAGTTCTTTCTCAGCCATGGCATTGTCTGTGTATACAGAGGCTGTTGATTTTTATGTATTGATTTTATGTCCTGCCACTTTACCAAAGTCTTCTACGAATTCCAGTAGTTGAGATAGAAGTACAGATGTACTTCTATATTCCAGTAGTACAGATGAGAAGGCGTCTGTCTGCCCTGTGGCTGACAGGCACTGGCTTTATTAAATCTGAGTGTGTGTCTACTTGAATGCAAGGCGTGCCAAGGAGGAAGCGGCTGTGTGTGTGTGTGTGTGTGCGTGCGCGCACGTGTGCAGGAACGGCTGTGTGCCCAGAACTTGCAGTCATGTCTGGCATGTGACATGGGCGCCCGCACATACTCTTAATAGTGAGCCTGTTCCAGAATCAGGCACCCTCCATACTTGATTAAGAGGAGAAACTGACAAATACACCAAGAAAGAGGCTGCTGTTTTCATTTTGACTGTGACCCTGAGCTCCCTGTGGCTGGAGAAGGGTGAGGCTGCGCTGGCTGACCGGGAGGAAGCCCACCTTGCGGGCTGCAGCCTGCCAGTCCTCGCTCAGAGTCGCCGCGGCCGCGTCCTCTCCAGGGGGAATTTCCACGCTCAGTGGCAGTCAAGGCCAACGCTGCGTGGGTGGGGACACTTGTCAGCTATCATGACACATTCTAATTTCATATTCAGAGAGTAGACACACATACTGCAAGTGCTTAGAAGCTGTTTCTCATTCCCTCGCTTAAATCACATGGAAAGTTGTGGGGGATTATCTAAGAGTAACCTTTGCAAAAACAATCCTACGACATCATAGTAACACGCTGTTTATGTGTAAGCTCCAAGGAGCCCGTGGGTCTGCCCCGTTTTCTCTGCAGACCCTGTCCACACTGAGAGTGTCTGGGCCACACACTTGCCCTTTCACGGCCCTGCCTGCGGGCGCCCAAGCTGAGGCCCAGGACTCCGACACACCGAGGGAGTGTCCGCCGTGTCCTCACCCCTCTGGGCGTCTTCCTAAGCGTCTGGGGCACGGAGAGCCTTCAGCAGATACCCGACGGTCACGGTTGGAAGGACGCTCTCGGCGGAGAGCCTGACAGAGAAAGCGTATTTGAAAGCGAGCAGCTCGGGCCGCAGCGTCACTGTTGTCCTGTCTTTATTCAAATGGTAACCTCAGAAGGCCTGGCCTGTCGTCCTCTTCCGGGGCCCTGCCAGAAGTCAGAGAGGCACGCCTTCCCCGGGAACGTTTGCTGCTGTGAACTGCAGCGTCTCTCCGGTGTCTTGGCTGCGGCCATCATAGACTCCTACACGTGTTGAAGTTTTTCTCTTATGTGTTCACTTAGTGATTTATTTAGATGATCGGGTCCCAAAAACTTAGTAGTCACTGAGACAGGTGTGGTCTTTACCTTTTTTATTCCTTCACTCTTGAATATTTTGTGAATACCTACTATGTGCCAGCCACTGTGACGTGCGCTAAGGGTACAGAGGAGAGTGACAGCTGATGGCTATGTTTGTGGAGTTCCCGGTCCAGTAGGGGAGGTCGATATCAATCAGTGGTCACACTGTGGGAGAGAGGGACATAGCTCCCCCAGAGGACAGGAGGGGTGATCCACGAGCAGCATCTAGAAATACCAGGGCCGGAGGGTGGCAGCAGGAACCAGTCCGAGCACCTCCCCTTTCTTCCGTGCCCACCGTCCAGCAGGTGCACCCTTAGCCTCTTAAAAGCATTTCGTTTATGGGGCCTGCACTGGTAGTGTAGTGCCTGTTCCTGTTCCGGCCTCCATCGGGATCCCGCATGTGCGCCAGTGCACGTCCTGGCTGCTTCACTTCCCGTCCAACTCTGCTATGGCCCGGGAAAGCCGCAGACGATGGCCCAAGTCCCTGGCCCCTTGCAGCCACCTGGGAGCCCCAGAAGAAGCTCCTGGCTCCTGGCTTCTGCCTGGCCCAGACCTGGTGGTTGTGGCCATTTGGAGAGTGAACCAGCAGATGAAAAATTCTCTCTCCTCCCTCCCTTTCTGTCTCTCTCTCTCTCTGTCTCTCTGTCTCCCTCTATCTCTGTACCTCTGCCTTTCAAATAAAATAAATATGTCTCTTTAAGAAAATCTTGCATTTAATAAATGTTACTCAGTTTTACAAAGAGAAACTGAAGAGCAGTTCCAAAACTTGTCCCGAGATGACCAATGAATGAGTAGCACGAGCTTTTAAGGTCCAGCCTGATTCGGCCCGTGTCATGGCGCCTCTCCCTGCAGGAGCAAGGGCTTCCCTCACTGTCCTGCGTAGGTGACGTCCAGCCGTGCTCGGCACAACCAGTGCGCCAGGTACGGCAAGAGCTCCGTGAAAATCCCTGCTCCCAGGGAGCCTCCCGTGAGGCCAGCGAGGGAGGGCACCGGGAGAGGCAGGCCTGTCGCAGCACTCACGCGGCAGGCAGGCTGCACGTGCCCTGCGCCGGCTGCTTGCTGTCATCATCTCGTGACAGTCAGGGCCAGCTGTCGAGCAGTTCCCACACCCCTCGAAGGAACTTCACCCACAAACCAGGACCCGCCGCAGCTCAGTGACGGCCCTGACACAGTCGTGGTGCTGGAACTCACCAGGAAATCCACGTGCCTTTTCCAGTCACCACAGCTTGTGCTGAGTGAGTTGTGCCTGTACCGAGTTGACAGAGGGCTCCTTCCCACTGCACTCTGGGCTCCCTAAGGGCTGGGGGGTGGGGTGGGGTGGGAGGGGCATGTGTCAGGTAGGTTTTGCTCAGTTTCATATCCCACCACCTGGTGGTGTCTAGCACATGATCGATTCACATTAAATGTTTGAAGAATGAGGGGAAAAATGCATTACATTTTCCTGACACCTTTGTTAGCAAAACAGATATAATAATCTCTGCATTATTATAATAATCTCTACCCTGAGAGGCGTCACAGGGTAGGCAGTTGCCTGAAAGGTCGTGTATAATTAGTATTTGGTAAGCCAGAATTCAAATCCCAGCTCTTCCTTTTGTCACCTGATTGAACTTGAACACAGTCATCAGCCATTAATGTGGATGATATTAAAATCAGGATAAAGTGCAGTGGGAAGAGATTCGACCTCTACCACCAAAATTAACCACACGTGGTCCCTTTGTCATGGTCACAGCTGCTTGGAAAATGGTGCCAGGCGTGGGCGTTTGCCTCAGCAGTTGCAGTGCCCACATCCCACCCTGGAGGCCTGGATTCATGTCCTCGCTCTGCTTTCCATCTGGCTTCCTGCTCAGCGCCACCTGGGAGGCAGCAGGCCCAGGGGCTTGGGTCCCTGACCCTCGTGTGGGAGGCCTGGCCGGTGCTCCTGGCTCCTGGCTCGGCCTGGCCAGTCCTCAGTGCTGTGGCCGTCTGGGGAGTAAGTCAGCAGATGGAAGATCTGTCTCTCTCGCTTGTTCACTAGCTCTGCCTTCCAAATAAAGAAGCAAGAAAATAGTGCCATAACCGAAAGTTAGATTCTGGTCCAGGGGCCCTTGAAACTTAATCCCTGTGTCATTCCCTGCAGGGCCTCGGCCGCTGGACGGCACGTGTAGGGCCAGGTCCCCTCTGACAGCCCAGGGTCCTTCTGGGGTGTCGTCCTCTCCGTGCTCTTACACCCTGTGTCCTGCTTTCTTCTCACACAGACACGCGCGCACACACACAGACACACACACACCCGGAAAGGCCACGAGACACACCCAGCCTCATGTTCCCACGCTGCTCTGGTCTTGGTCAACTCATTATTATTTAGATCTGGAGCATCCACAGTCCTCCCTCAGTATCCAAGAACAAACACACCACAGCCTGCAGATGCTGGAGTCCAGGGCTGGGGAACCTTTTTTCTTTTATATAAAATTTGCAGGCCATACAAAATTATCAGCTTAAAAATTAGCCTGCCATAGAGTTACTGAATTTCAAGTCCCACCTGCAGTTGCTTCGAGAGGCGTCAAATGATTTCACAGGCCTTATATGGCCTTGCATACAGGGGTCTTCAAAAACATCATGGAAAATGCTTATGAAAAACCTATGCACAGATTTCAACTTTTTTTTTTGCACCAAAGCGAACTTCTCTCTTAGTTCAGTGGACAGGGTTTCCATGAACTTTCTGAAGTGCCCCTGTGCAGGTGTGTACCTGCATGTACACATGTGTACTTGGGCATGTGGCTGGGAGCCCTGAGCCAGAGCTGCACGTCCCTGTGCCTTGCACACACGCCTGGAGGGCTGCTCAGGAGTGAGAGCAGGGCAGGGCCCCTGTGCACCGCCACGGGAACCTCTGTGTGGCTTTCCTCTGGCAGGAAGACAGCTTCTCTGGTCTCCCAGCCGGTTGATTTCACTTTCACTTGTAGTAGGCCCCGTGCTCTCCTCTGCTCTCTGATCAGACGTCGTACTTTGCAATCAGGAAGAGTCCGTTAATTTCTGTATTTTATGTAATTACTCTCTACCCAGCTTCCTTGGCTTTTCATCAGCAAAATGGCGTTACTTCATTTCCCAAAGAAATGTCGATGAAACCGGTTACTCAGAAGAACAGCGGTGCACACACTAAACACCATGGCATGCGACAGAATCAAAAGCTAGTAGTCGTGTATTTGGAAGCTGTAAGGGCCAATTCAGAAAGCGGATTTTAGTTCTTTTGATTTCTCCCTCAACTTTTCTAAGTCATCAGCAGCACAGATGACATTCTAGGAGATTATTTTTTTTAAGATTTTATTTATTTATTTGAGAGACACAGAAAGGTCTTCCGTCTGCTGGTTCGCTCCCCAAATGGCTGCAACAGCTGGATCTCGGCCAATCCAAAGCCAGGAGCTTCTTCCAGGTCTCCCACGTGGGTGCAGGGGTCCAAGGACTTGGGCTATCTTCCACTGTTTTCCCAGGCCATAGCAGACAGCTGGATCAGAAGAGGAGCAGCCAGGACTAGAACTGGTGCCCATAAGGGGTGCTGGCGCTGCAGGAGGAGGCTTAGCCTACTGTGCCACAGCAGCAGTCCCTGGAGATTGTTCTTCATATTGCTACAATTGGTCATGATTTTGCAACATGGAGTTTTCCCTGTTCTGTTGAGAAGGTTCTTGGTGTGTGCAGTTATTTCTAGAAGGCATTCTGAAATATCCAGTTCAAATGAGTATGTTCTGGGCTTACAATAAAGCACCATTTTTCTTTTACTTTTTGGCTCTCACGAAGTCATGATCATGCAAGGTCTCACGAGCGCTGTGAGTCCTGGGCCTTGCATGCACTACCCCCCTACACGATAGGTGCGGTTCTTATACCCACTAGAGAAATGAGATACTGGCAGGGCTGTGGTCCTCCTGCCCAGAATCACACAGCTGGTAGGTATGAAGTGGATGTGAGCCACGGCAGTGACTTCAGACCTTGCACTCTTAAATCTGGTGTTCAGTAAAGAAGTCTTCATTAATCCTGAGAATCCAGAATCTTCCTCTGTGTGATCGTTAACTTGCTTTGCAGTCAGATTCAGCAAGGTTTGTGCAAAGCGTCTCCTGGAAACAATTCCTTAAGATCAGAAGAGGTTTGACTTTCACCTCGGATGTAAGACGCTGTGACAGACGTTCAGAGTAGGCTCTGTGGGCTTCGTGGCCGTCCTGCCCTGTCCCCTGCGTTTTGTCTGTCGTCCCTGGAGTGGAGACCTCAAGGGCTCCTGAAGTGGCTGTGAAGCCAGCAGATCAAGAGGGCACCAAGAGTGACGGAAGTGAGAAACCACGGAAGAAGGCTCCAACCCTGTCTCCCGCGCCGCCACTTTTTCTTGTCTTTCTTTTTCTTTTTTTTTTTTGACCAGTATGAAAATCGTCCTTTCACCGTTTGGTTCTCAAAAGGAAGTAGACAGAGACTCTCTGTGTCTCCTTCAGAAAAGCGCAGAGGCAGCAGCGCGTGCACAGCGATGCGGGCGGGAGGAGGGCTGTGTCTCCACTCACTGTCTCTCCCGCCCCTTCTTGCTTCCAGGTGTCAGGAACTATTTGAAAGAAGCGCTGGTGAACATAATTGCTGTGCATGCCGAGGTAAGCTGTCATTAGATGTTCCTAACACCTGCGGATAAGGAAAAAGCAGAGGAGGACGCTCCATGGTTCTCATGGTGGTCTTTTTCCCCTTCAGAATATATCTTAGGATGCATAACATGCAGCTCGACTCTGCCACGCATCTGTTTAACCGTCTTCTTCTCTAATAATTGAAAGTAAATCTGGGGTCAGAAGTGTGGTGTAGCAGGGAAAGCCGCTGCCTACAACCTGGGCATCCCATATAGGCAAGGGTTGGAGTCTTGGCTGCCCCACTTCCGATCCAGCTCTCTGCTATGGCCTGGGAAAAGCAGCAGAAGATGGCCCAGGTCCTTGGGCCCCTCACCCACGTGGGAGACCCAGAAGCAGCTGCGGGCTCAGTCCTAGCCGTGGCAGCCACTTGGAGAGCGAACCAGTGGATGGAAGATTCTCTTTCTCTCTCTCCCTCCCTTCCTCCCTCCCTGTCTCCCTCTCTCTGTCCTTCTCTCCACCTCTCCCTCTTTCCCTCTCTCTCTCTCCCCTCCAACTCTGAGTTTCAAATAAATAAAATCTTTCAAAAAACAAGTAAATTCATGACTATTTGAAAGGATGTTTCCCAGGGTGGGTGCCTAGTGCTGAGGTAAGATGCTGCTTGGGAGGCCAGCGTCCCCTCTCGGTGCTGGGCTCGGGTCCCACCCTGTTCTGGTCCTGCTTCCTGCTGATGTGCAGTAGTGATGGCTCAGGTCGTTGGGCCCCTGCCACCACGTGGAGGCTTTGGTTGAATTCCCAGCTCAGGCATTTCGGAGTCATCTGGTGGACGAGATGTCTTTCTCTCCATCTCAAATAAAACAAACAAACATTTTTTAAAAGATACTGCTGCCTGGTTTCCTGAGTTGACTTTAACTTTGAAGCAGCTAGATCATAAAGGAAAATACATTACAGCTGTACTTTACTGGTAAAAGGGGGTGTATCAATGACTCTGTGAAGCTTAAGTTTTTGTATGATTTAAATCAGGCCACATTTTATCACACAGACCTGTTTGTACTGAGTCATGTTTTCAGTGTGATCTTGTGGAAAATGGGAAAATGCTGTTTCTGCTATGTTAGCTTCCTGTAAGAACTGGAGCATACAGTCGTCGCTCCCCGGCAGTAGTGCTGTGCCGCAGGGCAGAGAGGCTGTGCACGTGCGGGAGTTGTCGGCGCCGGTGCTGGTGCCTGGGAGGCGGCTTGTGCGCATGTCCAGGACCGTGGCCGGGAGGCTGTTTAGAAGCGTGAGGACTCTCAGCCCCCTCGCAGCTGCCCAGTGATTCAGGTGGACGTCCGCTGATGGCATTAGTATTTACTACCTGCCGTGTGATCTTAAAACTGCCCCAGATTCTCCTGGAGCCTCACGCTGTGTTTGTTATCCAAAGATTGAATCCTAGTGGTTCAGTCTGAACACGGGAAAAACCTACAAAGAAAATATGATTTACTTTCATTTAGAAAACTCCAGATAACAGTAACTCTGGATGTGAAAGCGTCAAACGCTGAAGCTTGCAAATAATGTTGCATGTCAAATAAAAGGGAGTGTTTTTAACTGGAGAGTTTATTGTCCAGTGCAGAACGGAGTCTTGCACCGGGATGGAGGGCGCTTGTGCTTGAGGAGGGTCTGTTTTAAAGATAATTCTTTTTAAGAAATATTTCTTGATTTGTTTGAAAGAGTTAGAGAGAGGGAGGGAGAGAGACAGAAGTCTTCCATCCACTGCTTCACTCCCTAGCTGGCCACAGTGGCCGAAGCCAGGAGCCAGGAGCTTCATATGGGTTTTTCACATGAGTGCAGGGACACGAACACTTGGGCCGTCTTGCGCTGCTCTTTCCAGGCCATTAGCAGGGAGCTGGCCGGGAAGAGGAGCAGCCGGGACATGAACCAGTGCCCGTGTGGGATGCCGGCATTGCAGGTGGCGGCTTTACCCACTACAACTCTGATATTCTAAGGCAAGTCTGACTCCTTGCTTTTTTAACTGTTATAAAACACTAAGCAGACATTTATGTATTTATTTATTTATTTGACAGAAGCACAGAAAGATGCAGAAAGAGAGCACCTACTGTTTTACTCCCGAATTCCTACAGCAGCTGGGGCCAGGCCTGGCCAAAGCCAAGAGTCAGAGTTGAACTTAGCCTGGGTCTCCCATGTGGTAACAGGAATTCAACTACTTGAGCTGATGCCAGCACCATTGGTGGGGCAGGCATCCCGTATGGCCGCCAGTTCATCTCCCATCTGCTCCACTTCCCATCCAGCTCCCTGCTGCTAATGGCCTAATAAATAGCAGAAGATGGCCCAAGTGCTTGGGCCCCTGCACGTACATGGGAGACCCAGGGGAGCTCCTGGCTCCTGGCTTCGGATCGGCCCAGCTCCATCCATGGCAGCCACTTGGGGAGTGAACCAGTGAATGAAAGACTGTCTCTCTAACTCTGCCACTCAGATAAATAATAAATATTAAGTGTAGATATTAGAGATACGGGATACTAAGATATAGGAATTTTTCTATCCTCCTCCCTCTATAACTCTGCCACTCAAACAAATACATCTTTAAAAAAAAAAAAAAAAACTTGGTCCGTTGTCTGACAGCTCTGTGGGTCTGTACGCAGGAAGCTGGAGTTGGGAGCTGAGCCAGAATCCCAGCCCTGCGTGGGCTTTCCAGCCGGCGTCTCAGCCACCAGGGCGGAGTGCCTGCCTCTGGGTGTTTCTATTTCAGTGGTATCTTTTGTAAAAATCCTATCTCTTTCTTGTGCATGGAAGCCAATGTTTAGTTTGTCAGCACCCAGCAATGCCCTCCAAAGTTGTATTTGCCAGTGTTGCTCTTTTAAAGAAATTTTTATTTGCATTAATCGGTGAATACAATTCAAGTATAAACCTGTACCTTCCTTCGGTTCACAACTTTGGTAGCTTAGAAGACCTGTGGGCTTTTTCTTTTCCGTGTGTGATTTTATTTTGAGCAGATTCAAGTCGGGAACAGCCCCACAGTGCATCATTCTTCTTGTTTGGAACTTTCCGTCAGGTTTTCGCCATTTCCAAAGAGCTGGTGCCCCGCGTGCTGTCCCGGGTGGTGGAGGCTGTGTCCGAGGAGCTGAGTCGGCTGATGCAGTGCGTCTCCTCGTTCAGCAAGAACGGAGCTTTGCAGGTACCCAGTCACCCCACCCCTCGCGGAACGTTCCTTTGTCTTCAGTCACCAGTCTTAGCCAGACAGCAGTTAGTAACTGGCAGCGTCCGTCGTGTTTCTTGTGTGTGCCATGCCTGTGATTCGTTGTCTGCAAGTTCCAGTCTTTACAGTAGAACAAGACTTTAAAGACACTTATGAAATTGACAGATTCCTCCCGTTGATGACATCCTAGTTACTTGAATTCCATAAGTACAACAAACACAACCCCTGCCGACCGACTTGTTTTTTGGTATGCACGGAAGCCAACTGGTGGGAGACCAAGTGTGCAGGCAGACGGCACGGTGCCCCTGCCTCTGAGCCTCCTGTGCACTGGGTGCACTGGGAGTGGGCTTCCTAGAGCAGTGCCAGCTCCCCCTCCAGGGATGGCCAGCCCTCCAGGGATAGCGCTGTGCACTTGTATGACAGCTACACTTAAATACCTATGGATGCGCAATGGACTGGTGGGCGATTCTCAAAGAACTGGCACTCAGGTAGGTTCCCCACTTTCTGTGGACGTTGGTCTGAAGCCAGGCCTGGGCTGCGTGGAGCTCCAGTGTGAAACCCACTGCCTTCTGGCTCCAGTAGGCTTTAGGACAGCCAGCACTACAGGCACGTGAGGGAGGTGTCCCAGAAGGGAGAGAGAAAACACCACACAGTCCTCGTGTGCACTGCCGCGTCTCTGGTTGTCCCCTGAAATGCACGTGCGAGGCAGACTGCACAGCAGCCAGCACAGCCACGACTGGAAGAACAGAAGTAAGACTCGAATTGGCCAGAAGCCGCGGATTTTCAGTCTGAGTCCAGATCAGGTAACAGCTCACCACAAACAGAGGAAAACTCAGCTCTCCTCAGAGGCATGTTCCAGACTCCAGAGCGTCCACAGCATAGCATTCACACCATCCAGCAGACAAGCTTAGCTGAAACTGAGGTGTGCACACAAACAGGAACGCACGGCCCACCTTGCACAGGAAAGACTAGGTTTTAAGAGGGCCCAGTTGTTGGAATTAGCAGATGGGGGTTTTAAAGCAGCTGAGTTCAGTGATGTAAAGTAGAATGACATGTTCATAGTGAGTCAGTAGGTGGGAAGTTTGAGCAGAGAGGTAGGAACTCCAACAAAGGAATTAAATGGAAATTCTAGAGTGGAAAGATACAGTATAGGAATGTCTGATAGGGAGGGCAAAGGGAAAAGTCAGTTAACTTGTAGACCAATAGAAAGTATCTGGTATGGAGAACAGAGAGAGGATTAACTGGAGAAAACATATACAGATTGCCAGGGACTTCTGGGGCAATGCATGCATGTAATTGCATGTCTGAAACAGTAAGCCTGGCCTCTTAGTACAGGCTGGAGAAATGAACGTTAACACTGCAGTGATACACCGTTACACCCACCGAGATAAAGCAGGTTAAAGATGGCACCAGCGGTTGGAGGGCATGGAGCTCTCTCACGTTGTTGGCAATATAAAGCTGAAACTTCAGGGAAAGCTAGTGTAGTTTGAAAACTGAGCCTACGTGTGCCTGATAACCCAGTCACCCTGATCCTCGTCACGGCTGGAACGGAAAACCTCTGTCCTTGGCGATGCCGGCACCGCAGGTTCTAGTCCCGGTTGCTCCTCTTCCAGTCCAGCTCTCTGCTGTGGCCTGGGAAGGCAGTGGAGGATGGCCCAAGTGCTTGGGCCCTGCACCCCATGGGAGACCAGGAGAAGCACCTGGCTCCTGGCTTCAGATTGGCACAGCAGCCGGCCGTAGTGGCCATTTGGGGGGTGAACCAATGGAAGCAAGACTTTTCTCTCTGTCTCTCTCTCTCTCTCTCTCTCTCTCACTGTCTAACTCTGCCTGTTAAAAAACAACAACAACAACAACAAACTTCTGTCCTTGAAAAGAACAAGTGTAAGAATGCCCATGGCCTTCCCACGTGTAATAGCCTAAAGCTGGGAACTTCCCCGGTGTCCGTTCACGAAACAAACGGTCCTGTGTTCATACAGGCAAATACTGTTCAGCAGTCAAGAGGACAAGCCAATGACACGGCGTGGATGGCTCTCAGGATGGCTGACTGAAGGGAGCCACACACGAACACACATGTGCTGTGTGGGTGTCATGAGCATGACAACATAACTCGTCTGTGGTGGAAGAACGCGAAGCAGTGATTTCCTGTGGGTGACTGAGATTGAGGGGGGAGGGACTCGAGGGAGCGGCACAGGGTGGTGGTTCTGTGCCTTGATTGAGGTTTCCATGACACAGGTGCACATGTTGGGCAGAGTCCATCAGGTGGGACCTTGAGTTCTGTGCATGTTGTAGTACATAGATTCTAACTCAGAACAAAAGGACTGGCATACTCTGGTCACTGCTATGCACGCTGAAGTATGTCAAAACAGGACACAGATGGATCGTGTGTGATAAGGTAAATAAATGTTAGGGGTAGAACCTATGGTTTTTGCTGTAAAAATTCTTCCAAAGTCTATACATTTGAAATTTTCATAATAAAACATTGGGGAGGAAAGAATGAAGAAGACATGATCATTGAGGCAGGAAGACTAGAAAACCAGAATAGACCTATAACCAAGAGGGATATTGCATCAGTATTAAAGAGCCTCCCTCCAGGCCGGCGCCACAGCTCACTAGGCTAATCTTCCGCCTGCAGCACTGGCACCCTGGGTTCTAGTCTCGGTCAGGGCACTGCATTCTGTCCTGGTTGCTCCTCTTCGAGTCCAGCTCTCTGCTGTCACCCGGGAAGGCAGTGGAGGATGGCCCAAGTGCTTGGGCCCTGCACCCCATGGGAGACCAGGAGGAAACACCTGGTTCCTGGCTTTAGATCAGCACAGCGCTAGCTGTAGCAGCCATTTGGGGGGTGAACCAACAGAAGGAAGACCTTTCTCTCTGTGTCTCTTTCTCACTGTCTAACTCTGCCTGTCAAAAAACAACAACAAAAAAAGAGCCTCCCTCCAAAGAAAAGCCCAGGACTGGATGGCTTCACTGCTGAATTTTACCAAACTGATTCCAGTTCTCCTTAAACTATTCAAAACTATTAAAAGAGAGGAATCTTAGCCGGCGCCGTAGCTCAATAGGCTAATCCTCCACCTTGCGGCGCCGGCACACCGGGTTCTAGTCCCGGTCGGGGCGCCGGATTCTGTCCCGGTTGCCCCTCTTCCAGGCCAGCTCTCTGCTATGGCCAGGGAGTGCAGTGGAGGATGGCCCAGGTGCTTGGGCCCTGCACCCCATGGGAGACCAGGAAAAGCACCTGGATCCTGGCTCCTGCCATCGGATCAGCGCGGTGCGCCGGCTGCAGCGGCGGCCATTGGAGGGTGAACCAACGGCAAAGGAAGACCTTTCTCTCTGTCTCTCTCTCTCACTGTCCACTCTGCCTGTCACAAAAAAAAAAAAAAAAAGGAATCTTTACAAACTTATTCTATGAGGCCAGCAATACCTTAATTCCAAAACCAGAAAAAGATATACCAAGAGCAACACAGATAACTTTTAACAAATATCCATGATGAACATCGATGCAAAAATCCTCAACAAAATACTAGCAAATCCCAACAACACATCAAAAAGATCATCTGACCAGACCAAGTGGGACTTACACAAGTGATGCAGGAATGGTTCAGTATCAAACGCAATAAACAAAATACATCACACCAGCAAAATGAAAGATAAAAACTATATGATTATCTCAGTAGATGCAGAGAAAGCACTTGATTAAATACAACGTTCTTTCATGATTAAAAAATGGATATAGAAGGAACGTACATCAACACAGTTAAGGCAGTAAATGACAGACCCATAGCCAGCATCATATTGAATAGGCAAAAGCTGGAAGCATTTCCACTAAAATCCAGAACGAGACAAGGATGTCTGCTCTCACCGCTATTATTCAGTATAGTTCTGGAAGTTTTGGCCAGAGCCATTAAGCAAGAAAAAGATACCAAAGGGATACAAAGTGGAAAGGAGGAAGTTAAATTATCTCTGTTTGCAGATGGCATGCACATTTACATCGGGGGACCATAAGACCCCACTAAGAGAGTATTAGAACTCATAAGAGAATTCAGCAAAGTTACAGGATGTAAAATGAATACACAAAAATCAATAGTTTTTTTTAAGATTTATTTATTTATTTGAAAGAGTTACAGAGAGAGAGAGAGAGAAATCTTCCATCTACTGGTTGACTCCTCAGATGGCCACAGCACCAAAGCCAGGAGCCAGGAGCTTCCTCTGGGTCTCTCCGTGGGTGCAGGGGCCCAAGGACCTGGGCCATCATCTGCTGCTTTTCCCAGGCTATGAGCAGAGAGCTGGATCTGAAGTGGAGCAGCCGGGACTTGAACAAGTGTCCAGATGGGATACCAGTGTCACAGGTTTGGGCCTTATCCCTACATCACAGTGCTGGCCCCCAATAGATTTTTATACACCGATGATGTGCTGGATGAGAAAGAATTTATAAAATCAGCCCTATTCATAATAGGTACAAAAAAATTAAATACTTTGGGATAAATTTAACCAAAGATTTGAATACCTACAATGAAAATTACAAAACATTAATAAAATAAATAGATGAAAACACACACAAAAAAAAACATTGAAAATCTTCCATGTTCATGGATTGGAAGAGTTTATCATCAAAATGTCCATGCTACCCAAAGCAATTTACAGATTCAGTGTGATCCCAATCAAAATTCCAAGACATTCTTCACAGAACTAGAAAAAAACAACCCTAGGATTGATATGGAAAGAAAAAAGACCCAGAATAACCAGAGCAATCTTAAACAGTAAAAAAAAAAAAACCAAAGCCAGAAGCATCACAATACCAGATTTCAAGACATACCACATGGCAGTTATATTCAAAACTGCCTGGTACTGACACAAAAACAGACATGTAGAGCAGTGGAACCTAATAGAGACCCCAGAAATTAACTCACACATTTACAACCCACTAATCTGACAGATGAGCTAAAGGCATTCCCTGGAGAACAGTCCCTTTATCAGATGCTATTGCA